CCGTCTGATATCTTCTGATGAATTGGGATCGGGCTTGGGTTTTCAACTCTTGATCCAATTCAGCCTCATTTCTGGTATACTTCTCAAGCAGATGCTGTTCATTGGTAATTTGCTTATCCAGGGTAGACTGTTCTTTCCTCAGCTCCCGCAATTCTGCCTCCTTTTTCTGAATGGCATCATCAACCAGAGCTTTCGTGCTAAGGAGACCACCCAGTCTTCCAGTAGTCTGCTGAAGGGATTCTCGAGTCTTAGCCAAAGAATTCTCCAGCGTTGTTTGATCGAAGTCGGGCTGGGGGGTTTCGGCTGACAGAAGGCCAATGACTAATACTTCAGTCTTGAGTTCTGTAAGTCTTTCCATCAGCCGATGCAGAATGGGGACGGCTGGTGATTCCGTTGGAGTGTAAAAAAGAAGGCCACCAACCGTCTGAATGAGCTTGTCCAATAAATCGGACCTTAATTCGGACAGGGGACGGTTAATGGCCTCAGTGAACACAGTCTGGGCCTCCGCTGGAACTGGAACAGTTGATAGGACAGCTAAGTCCGAAGGCCCCTGCAAGTCCTACAATGTCAATAAATATTCCAAGGGAGTTGCAAATTTGTTCGGAGAAAATATGTGGTACCTCTGGGCGGACTGCTGTCAGTGAGGGGGGCAGCAATGAGGTCGGTCGAGTTGGGCAGACAGCTGGTATAACAGCAGCCGACTCGTCGGCTGCTGCTAATGGACGCTGAGGTGCCGACCTGGGTCCCTATGGAAAGTAGTATTTGAAACAGTTAGTGTTTTTCGAAAGAAAAGTTATGGCATGGATTGGTTTAATCTTACCAAATTCACAGAAGTCTCCGAATCGGATGAAGACATTTCTTCCATTTCTGGAGGTTGGGCTGCCACAGGTGGTTCTTCTGCCTGCCATTCGATAGCTAGAGGGAGCGCCGCTGCTGGTAGGGCGGCTGCAGGTTGGACGGCTACATCTAGAGCCACTGCAGCCAGGATCTCTGGGGCACCTTCGATTTCGGGATCAGCAGCATCAGGGATGTCGTTTTGAGGGTCAGCCTCGGCGAGGGCGGCTGGTTCTTCCTTTGACATAGATGAGTCTGATGCCATGTATGGCGGCCGACCCATCTGGGAAGTAGTCCCTTCGCTGTCAGAAGAGACCCCTGCTGCTGATGGGATGGGTGAAGGTGTCTGTGGAAAATCATGAAAATGTTTGTTGTTAACTATATCAAGGTTGATCATTAGAATACTAAGGAGTGCTGGTGAGAGAACTTACTGGTTCTGTAGGCACTGCTGGTAAAGATTGTCTCCTGGTCGGGGGCCTGGCCCGACCACTCCTCGGTGCGGGAGGAAGAGTTTGCCTCCGCGTCGGGTCCTCCGCCCGACTGCTCATTGGCAAATTGGTCTGGACCAAAGGCCCGATTGAATGGTCGGTTGGTGCTGGCGTCGGTTGCATGGTCGGTGTCACCAAGGTCGGTTCTGGGGAATGAAATGAGTAGAATCAAAGTTACGATTTAGTGAATTGGTTCACGGTGTTAAGAAACATTACCAATTCGGGGTCGGGTCCTTGCTGACGTCCTATTTATTCCAAGGTCTGCTAGTGTTTGCTGGTCGGTCTCCGAGGTCGGGGGTGTTTGCAGCTGGGAAGTTTTTCTTTTGCGCGTGGGACCACCAGATCCGATTCCCGGGGCGGCTGTTTGTTGTTGGGTGCTAGTATGTCTCGCCGTCCCTAGAACCAATCCTTGGGGGGGGGAGGAGTATGTTCAGCAACCGACCCTCATCAGGGGATATCAGGGACCATACAACCGACCACCATTCATTGAAAGTATCTACAATCTCAGGGTTGGAGCGGAAAGGAATATAAGAATTGGAAATTATATACGTGTTGAGCTGGGAGATATAAGAAGGGATTGAATTAGGAAGGACTCGTCGGTCGGGACTTTGAAAAATTATTTGGGGACACGCGACGGGTCCAGGGATACCTTGGCAACAGCCGAACTGGCGCGCCATGAATTGAGGTTCATAGTTAAAGGTGTAAAAAGTTTTCTGTCCTTTTTTATCAAGTTTCTTGCTACTAAAAAGAGACCTGGGTTTGAGGGCGACGTCCCAGGCGAAAGGATAGGTGGGATGAGGACAAGGCTCAGGAGTCGGAAGCGGGTTTGGTACTGGAAAGGGCCAAAAATGGTCGGGAGCATAACCCGCATACTTTTTATACATAGAAAATCGAGAGTTACTGCGGGTATCTGTTAAAATGGCGGTTATTATTGGATCGGAAGATTGGAGTTTATTGCGTCCTGAGCAGAGTCGGTTGAGGACTAATCCTAAATGTTTTTCAGATGTTGGCATAGTGGGCGGAGATCCTAAGTTAAACGCGTTGGGGAAGTAAAGACGGAACCAAAGTTCTAAAAACCAAAACGGACCCGACGCGGCAGTGTCTAATTTCCTATTATCGTTATCTGTTAAACGAAGGCTAACCCTGGTGAGTCCTTCGAACAGATTGGCTAAAAATAGAGTACCAAGGGAGAAGAACCGACCTGACGCAATATGAATGGCCAGGTCGAGGTGAGAAGGAAGGACACTTTTGGAAGGGGAAACAATGACGTACCTACAAAGCCAGAACAGGATAAAGGCAGTATGCTCCCGGTCGGTTACAGGGGTCCCTGGAGCCCCTTGCTGGTCGGTTGCGAACTTTGTCCAACCCCATTCCTTCACACCTTGTAAAGACCATCCCGGATGGTCTTCTTATGGCTCCTGCCCATCTAGGGCTCCCATTACAGGGTCTTCACCCACGACTGGGAGATGTGCGATCATGGCCACGTCCATAAGAGTTGGGCCAAAGGGGCCTGATGGGAAGAGGAAAGTCCCATTTTCCGCATTCCAGAAGGCAGACATGGCCAACAAAACCTTCTCATGCAGGTTGATAGGCATGGTGGACAGCAATATTGCTTGGTCGATTTTTTGGGAACGCCATTGGGTCTGGAAGTGTTCTGCTACCCGTCGATACCAAGCGCGATACAGATCTTTTGGGTCTGTGAGATGGGTCTTGATGCTGTCCCGGATGCGAACTGCTTGGTAGTTGGGATTGTTGATAGCCAGGGCGTTGCGAGATTCCAAAACTTCCCTCATCCGATTTGAATCTTCAGGAGTAGTGCAATATGGACGGATCGTCGGAGTTAGTACTTTCGAGGCTGAAAATGGACCTTCTGGAAGGGTTCCGTCGAAAGGAAGGGCAGGCATGTATTGATTCGCCATAGTTAGAATGTTTTGGGATTGTGATTCACACAGGCTTGTATTGCGAAGAAGGAAGTTTATCAGGAGTGTTGCAGTAACTGGTGCAGTTGCTAAGGGAGTTTTTCAAGAGGGTAGTGATTTATGAACTTCCAAACATTGATTGTTAAATGGCGTTTGAAAGTCCCTTGGCGGCGGGCAAGTTGTTACGTACGAAATTTAGAATTAGGTTAAAAGCCCAAGGTAAAAAGAAGAATGGGCCTGGCAATAGGGTTGATTGAACTGGCTGAAGGACACCGTGAGGAAATCAAGGAAAATAAATTTATTTATTTCTAAGGAAAATACAGGTCGGAAGGTTCTTAGGTCGGTAGGTCCTCAGGACGGAAAGACCTCAGGACGGAAGGTTCTTAGGTCGGTAGGTCCTCAGGACGGAAGGTTCTCAGGTCGGTAGGTCCTCAGGACGGAAGGACCTCAGGTCGGTAGGTCCTCAGGACGGAAAGACCTCAGGTCGGAAGGTCTTCAGGTCGGGAGGCCCTCAAGATGGAAAGACCTCAAGTCGGAAGGTTTTCAGGTCGGGAGGTCCGCAAGACGGAAGACCTCAAGTCGGAAGGTTTTCAGGTCGGGAGGTCCGCAAGACGGAAAGACGATGAGTCGGAAGGTTTTCAAGTCGGGAGGTCCTCGAGACGGAAAGTCGTCGAGATGGGATATCCGCAGGTCGGGTAAATTGTAGGTCGGATAGAAGGCGGAGTCGGACAAACGCGGAAGCCTTTGATCAAAGACAGGGGGCGGTTGATATGGAGGTCGGCCCAAGTGGGGTCGGGCGAAGAAGTAGGTCGGACGAAGGACGAAGTCGGGCCAAAAGAGCGGAAGGTTTGTGGTCGGCTCAAGGAGTGAAATATAGGGAATTTTGGTCTGCTGGGGACACGTGTCAGCATGAGAAAGGTTGGAAGACGGTTGAGAAGGAGACGTTGTAACCGTTCGGGTGACGGTTTTCAGTATGGTTTCCCAGGGAATATTTAAGGTTTGAATCATCATTTGGCAAGATATCTTCAATCAACTTCAACAAAGCAAAGTCAGATTTGGGGATCACCACTTTAAATTTCAGTCTTTTATTTTCCAGTATTATTTTATGTACGTTACAGTGTTTAGAGATTCCTAATCTCAGACACTAATTAATCAAGTTTAAGGATATTTTCCATATCTTTGAATTTTACTTTATTTTTGTTGAAAAAATACATCAACAACTATATTGATATAAATTGAAAAAGTCTTACAATAAATTTACCCATTGATTTTCCTAAAAAAATAAATAAAAAGGCAAACAGTGCTAGTGTTATTTGAAAATCAATTATAATATAGATTATATCATATGTTTCATTTGAATTATATTAGTATAAATCTTATATATGATTATTGATCTAATTTCATACACATCTTTTTATTGATTATATGCATATATTCAAATCCTACATAATTTGTCATTTTTTAAAAATATATAATTATATACTTTAATCCCATTTTAAAATTTATACTTTATAATTTTTTTTAATTTTTAATTAAACTATTTAGTTATTTATACAATCATTATTTTTAATAATATATGTTTACTAATTTAATTATATCATTGAATTACGACGAAATATATGTTTACTAATTAAGCTAATTATATTATTTCTATCGAATAGAATTCATGCATTGTTATATGTAATTTATATTCTATAAATCTCTAAAAATTATTCCAAAAATTACAATACACAATACCTCATAAACATTCAAAAACACCTACAAAAACACACCATAAATTTCTCAAAATGAATTTACAACATACATTCTCATCAAAACCTCACACAATATAATCAAGAAAATTTCAAAAAAAAAAAATGTCACACCTCTACTATGAACATCTAGGATTTCTTCCGGGCCCTCCGTAATAAAAATAGTTTCCCCAAGCACGGTTCAGACCAGCCTTAATGTTGTAACAATTCGGATGATCTGCCAAAAGATGTAGATTCGAAGACAACGGTACCAGGTTATTGTCCCAATCCACGACTTGTAGATTCCGGAAATAAGATGCTCGCCCGAAACCCTCATCGGCAAAATGGCCACTCCCCATTTGTGTCCATGTGTGTCGCCCTGTCGATCTTGTATTTACTATTTCGCCCCCGAATTGGATCATGCTTGCGTGGTGTTGAAGATGGCTAAACAAGAACGATGGCCAATACCCGATGAGAAGGCCCGGCCCAAATTCTAACCACCAATGACCGTGCTTCGGGTCCTAGATCAAGAAATCGATGTTATGATCGAGTAGTGTAAGGGAGAAAATTTCATACTATTTTTATTTTATAAGTTTGATAGTTTTTGTTTCGATGTAATTTTTAGATAATATATATTTCATCCGTCCAACTAAAAAGTATACACATTTCTATTTTGGGACGTCTTATTACAAAGTAAATATTTTATTTAATATCTCATTTTTTTCCACAAATACCCTTACTTTACATCATATCGTTACTTTTACACCAAAAGGCAATGACAAAAACGTCATTACACTACTTTTAATTACCCACTATAATTAAAATACTACTATTTCTTAAACACCGCGACAAAAGTAAGTGATTACTGTTTACTTTATCCGTAGACGGAAGAAGTATAATTTAGATGATTATTAGTTTGTAAGTTTAAAACCCACTAAAATTATACAACAATAGGTTCGAAAGATTATGTTATACTGCATTTATCATCTAAATTTATATATTTTTTTTTTCAAATTGTCATAAAAAAATTTTGAAGTGAATAAACATATTACCGTTTTTATACTTTATTATAAAAATGACAATTGGCTAAAAATTTGAACAATCAATTGGATGACACATGTGTTTGTTTGGGGGTTTGGATTTTGAGTTGAGATTTGAATAGTAAAAATTATGAATTTGAATAGTTGTATGATATGATATAAATAGGTGTTGATGTGATGCTTTGAATGTAAAATTGATTTTTAGTATAATATAAAAAATAAAAAATAGGTGTTTGGTTTGATATTTTTTGGGGGGAAAATGAGATGAATAGTGAAAATCTAATCCAATTCCCCAAACAAACACACCCAGTGAAATTTTGATAAATGTGAATTAGTTGATGCAAAATTTATTGATAATTTTGTTTTATATTAGCTGAAATAATAATATCAAAATAAATTTTGATTGTATTTAGAAATTTTTATTATTAGTTATTAGTAACGATAAAAGTATTACTAAAAGTTTTTTTTATTACTCCCTCCATTCCATAAGTAAACATTCATTTGCTTTTTGCACGTAGTTCTAAAAATATTAATATTATATTGAAATATAGTAAGAATAAAGTAAAAATGACTAAAATAATCGTATTAGTATGTGTGATATAAAGGTAATGACATTTGTCTAATATATTTTAAGTTGTAAAGGTATTTATAATACAATTATTAAAAAATGAAATGAATACTTTGTTATGAGACAGACTAAAATGAAAAAAATGAATACTTTGTTATGGTACCGAGGAGTATTATTTTCAAATATTTGGTGAAAGAAGTGAACAAACTCTTTATATCTACATATTTCTTGTAACACTAAAATTATATTACAAAATTTATATATATATATATATAATCATATTGCTAAAATTCACACACATGTATGTGTGTGTCTTTTAACCTTTTCTTTGAAGATGATCAGCCATTGCCAGCCATGTTCTTCGGAAATTTAAATTAATAATTTTTATTTTTATTTTTATTTTATTTTTTTAAAAAAGAGAATCTTTGAATATTTTTAATGGCTTGGGAGTGTGGGAAAGCAAGTTGTGGAAGAAATAGAAAATTAATATAGTACTGGTGAATCTCACTAAGGTCTGAATATTCATAATTTTATAATTGTTTGACTAAATAAACATTAAAATAAATAAATATATAAAAATTGAATGTCACAACTAATTAATCTATTATGATATTTCACTCCGAAAAATACTTTTATTATATTTATCTATAGTATTAATTTTAAAAAGTTATATTAAATACTTTATTTTTTACTATTTGAAAAATTAAAATTTTCCAAATTTTTAAAAATCATATATCCAATAGGAGCTAAAATTTTTATGAAATACTTTGATTTTATATTATAATTTGATGTGTTTTTTTTTTTTCGATAAAAATAAATAATAAAAATAAAATTTTATATAAAATACATATATAATAAATTGAATAGTACGAAAATAAATTTTATAAAATGAAAAAATATATATGCATTTGTACCTTCCATATTGTAATGCCGATGTCGAACTGTCTCCCGGCATAAGATGATCGCGGAGATATCGCGGCCCCGATGGCTATTTTGTTGTTGATTTGGACAAAACCCGAGCATAGTAAGTTATAACATCCCGTCGTTTGATATGCGTCGCTCTATATTTCAAAAAATAATTAGGCTATGTTCATCAATTTATATACACATTATTAAAAAACTTGATGCTATTTATCAGCATCGATTTTGTTTTAAATAAAAAATAAAAATATTATACTATAAATACTTATATTCTTTCCTAAAACATCACATATGTGTCAAGCTTAAATTTTTTTCATAGAAAATTCTCAATAAACATCAAATTATTTTTTTAATACTTTATACTAAAAATTAATTTTATATTTAAAATATTATATCACTAACTATTTATATTATATCACACAAGTATTTCACTTTAAAATTTTACTCACCGTCCAATAAGTGAAAAATCGAGGATAGTTGTCACCGTACAACTCCGGGCTCACCTAAAACATCATATATATATATATATATACATGAAAATTAACAAATATATCTATCGATCATAATTAGGCAATCTTAAAAATATTCAGACATTTTAACAATGTTCGAAAAGACTAATATAAGTGTAAGAATCCGAACCTGCCATCCAGCTTCGATAGTGTTGAGATCATTTCCGAACGATCCGGAAATGACCCAAACTTGAGAGAGGCTAAACTCGTACGCGTCAGTTACGCGGGGGGCCCATACGTTTATGCTCGCCTTTGCGCCGTAATAACGATCTGCGTTAACAAAAGCTACAGCGTGCTGCAGAAAATTGCAACAAAATTTTTTGTTAAAATTATTACAACTTAGAAAAAAAATTCATTTCATATGATTCCTACAGAATTTAACCTCGTGATCATTGCCCGCAGTGTCTCGCCGAACGCCCCTTCGGATCTTCCGGCCGAATCGACGGATGGACTTCACCCTTAGGACATCTCCCTCCGTTGTTCTTCTTATCGGAATTGTCCCTTCCGGACATGTCTCCCCGGCGTCTCTCCATGACTGTAATGTCTCGAATGTCGACTCCGTGGCCAAATTGCCGGTTTCTTTAGGCCTTTTCGGCAACTCTTTCTGCATTTTCACGACAATTATTACTTTCTTCAAAAATATTTTTGATTCTATTATTTTCAATTTTTTTTTAAAAAAAATTTATCCTATATTTATTTCGTTTTTAATAAAAAAAATATTTTTTTTTTCTAAATTTTTTACCATTAACCTTTTTACAGCTATTTTTGTATTTTCACAAGCATTATTAATTTTTCGAAAAATCCCTCGACTCTATTGCTTTTTATTTTTTATTTTTAGTTTTTTATAGCATATTCCTTTTATATATAATAAAAATATACTATTCTTTCTTTCATCATACATATTTTTCTGTTTTTTTTTTTAACTTTTACTACACATTTTTTTTGTATTTTCACATACATAGTTAATTTTTTCAAAAATAATTATTAGAATTATATACATTTCATTCTTTTTAGTAAAATTATATTTTTTTTTTCTATACAAAATATCACGTTTGGCTATTATTTCACCTAAAAATAAAAAATAAAAATCAAAACATACTCTAGATAGAGAGAAAATTAAAGTACCAATGGATGCTGTCCCTTAAGATGAGGATGATCAAAGGCAGGTTGGAGATGTAATTCCACACAATCGATTAAATCTCCATCAGGGCTCTGAAAATTAATCAAAATTATATATATATATATATATATACACATAAATGGAAATGAATTAATGGTGTCTGCAATGAATTTGTAGGAATTAAAAACCTTAAATTTAAACATTACCTGAATAGTCTTGACAGCGGGTTTGTTGACATTTCTCAAAAAAGTTCGAACCCTCTTCAACTTTAGAAGTTCTTGGCGTGGCCGGAAAGTCTGGTTCGCCGCAAGTCCGTCGGCGGCGGCGGCGGCTGAGGAAAAAGTGAGGAAGAAGACAATAGCTACATTAATTAGGGAAATGGTGAAAATGATTGGTAAATGGATTGTTGTTTGTCTGGATTTGGCCATTGTTGGAGGATAATCGTTTGTCGTGTAATAAAAATGGATTTGGATTTGGTGATAATGAATGGGAACAAATTGAGGGTTTAGGTTTTTGTTTGGATTGGAAGGGTTTGTTTGTCGTCCATGGAAGGTGAACTGAAGCTGATTCGATCGATCTGCAATGGCGGTTTGTTGTTATTGTTAATGTTAGAATGAATGTATGTAAATGGTCGTCTTCTTCTGCTACCTGCAAGTTATTAGAGGAAAGAATCCATAGGATAAGTTAAAAGAGATATACATACATGATAGATACATAGATAGATATACATATATATACACTCTCTTTGTGTAGAGTGAGAGAGAAGAGAGAGATGGTTTTTTTTTTGGTTAAAAAAACAAAGAAAGAGTGAGAGAGAAGATTGAAATAGTATGGGCTTGTTTAGAGACTAGTGTTTTATACTCCTTCGTCCAACCTAAAAAAGTATACAATTACTTTAGACGTGGAGATTAAGCAATAATAGTATTTTAGTTACAGTGGCTAGGTAAAAATAGTAAAATAACATTTTTGTCCTTACTTTTTTTTAATAAAAGTAATGATATGATGTAAAATAGGGGTATTTGTGGAAAAAATAGGGTATTTAATGAAATAGTTACTTTGTAATTGGACGTCCCAAAATATAAATATGTATATTTTCTAACTGGACGGATGGAGTACTTGTTATGCAGGGGTTTTATTTACATTTTGCGTCATTTTATTAATATTAAAAATATTTTTATATTTGTATAATTTTATTGAGTAAATGTAGAACTTTAGAACTAGACGAATGTAGTATTGTTTTTAACATAATATAAAATAAAAGGTTTTGATATGTTTACTTGTAATATTTTAATTTTGAATAGTATAATTTTGAATTAAAATAATTATTTATTGTGATATAAGTATGTATTAATTTGATGTTTTGAATGTAAAATTTATTTTTAATGTAATATAATAAATAAAAAATACATATTTGATTTGATATTTTTTATAAAAAAAAAAATCAAAATAATAAAATCAAAAATTAAATCTCACAGTCGCTGGTTCATCTCATACAATCAGATCATCTTTTACGGAACAAGTGTGTATCATCTTTATTTAGCTTCTAGTTTTATCATTAATAATGTACAATTTTAAAATTTTCTACAAAAATTGTAACAAAAACAAAAAATAAAAATAAAAATAAAAGTGCCTTGATTACTTTGTTTGAATGCAATAATGTTTTTGTTGATTTTTGTAAATGGGACAAAATGTACATATGACTAATAAATGAGTTAACATTTCCTTGCATATACATTGTTCATGTAATTCAAGAATAAAAAATAAAAAAAAAATTAAAAGTAAAATAAATTTACATTGTGATATTAAAAATTATTTTAATTTCAAAATATATTTTTTGGAATAAAATAAGAACCTAACTTTTAAAATATTATTTTAACGATGAATAATATTCTCCACTAGATTCAAACTCACCCTTGTGGTCCAATCCAATTGGGTTATTTTATTTTATTTTATTTTATTTTATAAGTGGTCTTCACTTCATTACATTTGCTGACGGATGCTGCTGCCACATGATGCTTTGTTCCCTACAATTATTAAAGGTCCATGGACCACAGGTCCAGAGATTTCACAGCAGCCACTCCGCTCCACTGCTTGCATGGCAAGGATCTATCCGGCGCTGGAGTCCAGGGTTCCTCCAAGAATCCCTATGTCACCACCACTTCACCTTTTTAAAATTCAAAATTAAAAATTAAAATATTTATTTTTATTTTTATTTTTTTTAGGGGTTATTTCAGAAAACATGTTATGGGCAGTTATTGAAAAATTTAATTTATGGGACAGCTCAAAAGAAAACTCACTACTATTATATTACATGGATTTCCTCTTTCAGGTTGTCTGCCCTTTTCATTTGCGCGTGCTTTATTATACATACATATTTTATATGTATATATAGAGAGAGATTCACATATATTATCTAGAGTGAGAGAGACACAAATTTTCTTAAAACAACACTAAACGGATAACATATGAAATAGAAATTAACAAGACACTTGTTGTTGTTGAGTAGATTATTTTTGGTTGGATATAAATTTTAATGAATATAATAATATATTGATTGAGATATTTTGAAAATTATATGAATGAATTAATAAAATAAAAAAAATAGCAAAATAAACATAAAATTCATCCGATATTGGTAAAAATTGAACAAAATATCAATTATCTAAAATTACGGTAGATTCTCTTATAGTTTTAAAAATTCTTCCTTTAGTCATTTTCTCTTATTAGTTAAACGAAAATAATTCAAAAACTTAATAACTATAAAATTACTGTTAACTAATGACGGAATGAATGTTAAATGCAATATTTTTTAAACTATAAGAGAGTTTGATAAGATTTTTAAACAATGACATATTTTGCGCAATTTTTATAAATTACGAGTATACTTTATGCCACTTTTTGCCCAAAAAAATTGATAAATTAAGTGTGTAAGTAGTCGTGGTTTGTTTGTAAATAAGTATAATATTGAATGATTTAAATTATAAAAATATATAAAAATTATTTGCTATAAATATAAAATATAGTATATTTTTTATGAATTAAAAAAAAAAAAAAAAAAAAAAACAAGGCACATTTTTTGTGAATAGAAGTAGTGCATGTTAATATAGTAGGAAAACTATATTTATGCAATCTTTTTAAAAAGATGAAAAATTGTAATACTCCCTCCGTCCCATTAAATATTGTCATTTTTTATTTTCGTCTGTCCCAAAACAAAATTATCATTTTCTAATTTAGTAATTGTACTACCTACATAACATAATAACTATCCTTCTAATTTACACTATATTACACAATACTAATAAGGGTATTTTAGTCTTTTTTCACTGCAACCCATTATAATACTAATATTAAAAAATCTATATTTAAAAAGTAAACGACAACTTTGCACATGCACGAAGAAAATATAATTTTTAAAAACATTTATACAATATTTTTTAAAATAGTAGCGAGTCTTGTGTGTGTTTATTTTTCAAACTACATGTGAATTATAATATTTTTTAGAGTCTTGTAATGTAAGGAGAAAGAAATAAGTAAGAATTGATTAAGAAAATAAAAGAAATCTTCTTAGAAATAATCCACTTCAACCAAAATATTTCACCATGAAAATTAAGGCCAAGAATTGATGAGTTAATTAATGGGGACAAAAAATATCTGTCACAATAAATTTATGTCACCAAAATTTAAAGCAATATGATGATGAAGATGATGGTCAAAATCCGTACAATTTAAATTTAAAAAAAAAATTCTGATTGTTTTTTTTCTTTTTTAACGACGTGAAACTCGCAGCAGCAGATATTCACAGTGGGCAAACTATGTGTTAAATAAAATTTAATAATATCGATAATTTGAACTCATAAATTTATAAATTTATAGTTTTGAGTTCATTCTCACACTATAAAAAACGACAATAAATTGTGATATTGGTCCTATACGACGTCGTTTTCAGTTTGGTTAGATGCCTTAGTCTTTCCCATTAATTTTTCTTTCATTCATTCAAATACCCTACCCTATCTTACCCTACCTTCTTTCAAATCTCTTCTACAATGGAATATATTATTACTATGATTTTAAAAATTTTGATTTAAATAGTTATTAGATATGATATTTTATAAAAATAATAATAATAATAATAATAATAATGTATTTTAAAAAATTACAAAACTTGTTTAGTTAAAATAAAAAAATAAAAACAGAGAGAACATACATTTTTGTTTCAAATACTCTTTTTGTTCGATTAAAAGAGTTACATTTATTTTTTGCGTGTTGATCTTTCAATATAAATTATTATATCAAAATATAGTACAAATTAAAAAAAAAAAATAACAAAAATATTTTTACTAGTGTTTTACAGTACTAATATAATGAAATTTGTATAAAAAATTATAAAAATATAAAAATATTTACTATTTTTTTTTATTATAAAATTATATAAATTCAAATTATTCCTAAATATGTGTGAATATATTAAAGTGAGTAGTGTCATGTCTAGCAAAAGAAGAATAGAATTAGCCCACTCACTGGCCACTGCACATAATATATATATATATATATATATTTTTAAATTATTGCTTTATTTTATTTTATTTTAATTTTTGAGATGCATAAAACACAACTTTATGTAAAGTTTGATGCTGCTGCAGGCAGGCCATAAGGAATAAGATTCCCCTTTCCATCATAAATATATATAATTGGTGTGTTATTTTAAATTGTGATTTATATATATATAGTAATTTAAATGTGATTTTTTTTTTTTTTGTAAATAAGTATAATAATAATAATATATTAAAAATTAAAATAATTACATAGTTAAAAAAAAAAACTAAAATCGAATTAAAAAAAAAAGGCCTAACTCCTATAAATAAATTTAGGCATGAGGGAATGGTCACTATTAGTGAGATGATTATGATGATATTTTAAATATTGTGGAGGCCATGTGACTATGTGAGAAATATTAATATTATTTATTTATTATTATATAATTATAATAATACACAAATATATATTTATCATATTTATAATTTTTCTGTTACTTTTTCGTCCTAATATAATAGTCTCGTTTATTACTCATTTTTGTATTTTTTAAAATAATAGTTTTATTTTCATAAATATTCATATCATTATAAAATTATCTCTATTTTTTCATTATTATAACAAAAATGTCACTATTTTTTGCGCTAATAAACTCACAAGGACAATAAAGTCTTTTACTCATACTTTTTATCGACTATCAATATAATATTAATATTTTTTAAATTATGTGTTCAATCTAAATAAAACTATAGATTTGGGACGAATTGAGTATTTTTTAATGAGAAAGAGTAATGAAGAATTTTTTTATGTTGAATTATATCTTAATTGATAGTTAATTAAAAGATGATACTTATATTCCCAATATATATTTTTTATATTTCAAATATTTTGATTTATAAAAGGTGTGTATATTACCACTATCTAGTTTGTGCTCTTTTCAAATAAATATAATATTTGTTTAAAAAAAAGTTATTTAATTATAATTTTTTTTAAAAAAAAATTAATTTAAACCAAAATTAAAAGGCCCAATTGATTGTGTAGACAATTGGCCCATAGCCCAACTCAAAGCTAATTTAGTGAAATTTGTGGGCTCTTTTGTCTCTACGGTTCTTCTCCAATGATAACTAAAGTCGCTAAATATAATTCACGTTTTCTTTACTAATAAATAACTGAATTTTGAGTTGGGATTTAAATAATAAAAATTTTAAATTTGAATAGTTGTATGACGTGATATAAATAAGAATTCATTGAATGTAAAATTGATTTTTAGTATAATATAATAAATAAAAAAATAAATGTTTTGATTTGATGTTTTTTAAGAAAAAATTTTGTGGGAATAGTAGAAATCCCACAAAATCCCTCGAACAAACACAGACGTCAATTATGCGGTTCTCTACAATTAGACGCAAAGTCGCGTTTTCAAATTCCTCAACTCCGCAGCAGCTTTAGCAGCAAATAGTAAGCGTTCATTGACTACATCACTATATCGATCGTCGTGCTCTCGAAATTCGTTGATTTCAAGGAAATGGATTGTCGAAGAATCTTGATTGCTGCGCTACTGTCGATTATCGTGACGCAGGGAGAGAGCAAAGCGCTGGAATCGCCGCAGTACACGGTGGTGCATTCGGAATCTGATTTTGAGGTGAGGTTCTACAGGGAATCGGCTTGGATGACCGCCGCCACTGATGAAATCTCCTTTGAGAAAGCTACGAGATACGGATTCCATAGGTAGGTATCATTATCGATTTCCTTTTTAACTTAATTACTCCATAACTGAAATCTGAGCGGTTCTCTGATTCCGCACCGTCGTTGAGCTTCCTTCGTTAACTGCAATGAAAAATTAAAGAAATGCGAGATTAAATTTAAACCTCTTTGCTTGTTGTGGATGAAAAAACAAAGGAAAACTGCATTTATATGAAGAATATGACCCATTTTTGCCTTTGATTTGCACCTTCTGTTGATTCTGTTTTGTTCATATTAGTATTGCAGTGATGCATAGTGTATGAGTTGTCTGGAAATTCATTGGAGATTAAAAACAAAAATAAAAATAAAAATCATATTGGATGAGTAGTATGAATCATAAACCAGATCTAGAAATAGAGCAAGAAAATTGCAATTTAATCATTGATAAAACAATTGCTCTTAGCATTAATAATTTAGGATGTAATCCAGAAGCTTTTATGAATTGCTTGTTCTAGTCCATATGCACGTGAAAAATCCATTTACCAATGAATCAAATGTTTGCATAAATTAAAGTTGACTTTGTGCATCTTTGTGAAGAATTTATTTTGTACTGTATGTTTCCTGAATCCTAAATGTGCCTTAGGAGAGCATCAAAGGTTGCATACAGATGATAAATAAATAAAAAAAGGCGAAATCGATGCAATACTTAGGCTTACCGAAGTATTATGCAGCTGATGAACCCGTGCCCCATGAATCGTCGTGGTTTTTCATTGCTAGAATCCGGAACAATAGACATTCTGATTGTCCCGTTGTCATAGATTGCGATAATTAGCCTTACCGAAGTATTGTGCAGCTGATGAACCAAACCCTATGAATCGTCTTGGTTTTTCATTGCTAGAATCCGAAACATTAGACAATCTGATTGTCCCATTGTCATAGATTGCGATAATTAGCCTTACCGAGGTATTGTGCAGCTGATGAACCAAATCCTATGAATCGTCGTGGTTTTTCATTGCTAAAATCCGAAGCAATAGACATTGTGATTGTCCCGTTGCCATAGATTGCGATAATTAGCCTTACCGAAGTAATTATTCAGCTGATGAACCAAATCCTACGAATCTTTGCCGTATTTCATTACTAGAATTCGAAATAATCGACATTCTGATTGCCCTATTGTCACAGATTGTTCCAGTTCATAGAAGGCGCAAACTTGAACTCCTCCCGAATACCAATGACTGTCCCTGTTTTAACAAGCATAATCCCGGAAGGAGGACCTCTCCACTCGTCAGCATACGCCGTGAAATTCTACCTGCCGGAAAAGTTTCAGGCGACACCACCGCTCCCACTTCCTGAGCTGAACCTCCAGCCAGATTGGTGGGAAGGTCATTGCATCGCCGCCAGAAAATTTACAGGATTCGCGAGGGATAAGAACATCGTCAAGGAAGCTGAGAAACTCGCCGTCAGTTTGAGCAGGTCTCCTTGGGCGAACTCGACCTCTACTCAGAGTGGATACGCGTATTCTATCGCACAGTATAATTCCCCTTTCAGGTTCATCGGCCGTGTGAACGAAGTTTGGGTGGATATCGAAGGATCCGAGGCAGGCGGTTGCAAGCCCAATGTCTTGGCTACGTTCGAAAGCTCTTCGAAAGCGAAAGAAATTCTTACATACATGTGAACCGGCGCGTAACGCAATCTTCCATGGCTGCCGTCCCGGGTTTCATTACCGGCTAAGGTAACTGATCTAATACATCTGCTATACATGTTAGCTGATCTTCATGTAAATAAAGTGATGAACAAACTTGTTCATGTTTTTTCTGACAATGTCTTGTTCGATGTAGTCGACCATGTCATTTACTCGTCGCGGCGCTTTTCTTACATATAAGAATGAAGGAATTGAGACAAATAATTTGGCAATGTTGTCCTAGATGCAGGTTTTCTTCCCGCCATTGGCAGCTTAATTTGACAGAAAAAAAAAGACGAGGAGGAGCGATGAAAGCAAGACGAATGTAAACACCGAAGAAGACAACCTTAAATCGCGTTTCAGAACCAAGTTGTTGTTTGGCGATGCGTCCCGATTATGCCATAAGAACTCGGCTTCAACAAGCGAAGCGCCTAACGTCCAAGAAACATCTCCGGGACCGAATATTATGTCCACGCCAGCTAGGCAGAGAGCGTTTTCGATAAGCGATGCCAAGTAGGGCATTCGGAAACAATCTTGGCCGTTGAAGCCTTTCGGATTATCCCCCGATCTGGCGCATAGGTTCTCGCCTGACTCCCACAGTGTCGACAGATTCAACGTCTGGCTTAGATTTAGCGCGCGGTAGATGGCGAAAAATCCAGACATTGCGTGGTAACGGGAGACGTAGTGCAGACTTCTCGTTATATTCAACGTCGTGTTGCCTGCAAGAAGATTGAAAGAATGCGGTCACAGTTCAAACAGCCTCAGCTACGAATCACCATTTTACTAAATAACAACACATAGGTAATTCGAGTGAAAATCTACACGGCAAAGATAAGTTAAAAGACATTCGCATTTTTGTTATAAACAACACATAGGTAATTCGAGCGAAAATCTACACGGCAAAGATAAGTTAAAAGATATTCGCATTTTCTTGATGTCGATCCAAATACGTTATCATCTACATTTAACTATTCACAATCTAAAAGTTAAGGGTTAACACTTGGATTCATAGTTTACTAGTGACATTTTTCATTAACTTCGTATTAACTTCTAGTTTAAAACAATCAACAAGTATCGAAAAAAGCATACGTAAGTTTAGGTTGCAGATCTAGTGCTGATTCGGTAAGCATATGTCATATAAGTGACCAACACTGTGTTAAAAATAGTATAGGTTGAGTTATAATATAATATAGGCAAAACTGCCCATAACTCTCTTATAGTTTTGAAACTCAGCGTAAATCCCCTTTTATTCTAAAAATTGTGTGGCGTCCCTTTATACTTTAAAAAATGTTGCATGAAAACCGTCTGTGGTTTCGAAACTTAATGTAAATCTCCACTTTACTTTAAAAATTGCATTGCGTCTCTTTATACTTTAAAAAATGTTGCATGAAACCCCCACTATGCAAATAATATAGATAGAAAATCTTCTTATCAGACAAGGAAAATTTCATGGTGGTGGGGTTTTATGCAACGTTTTTTAAAGTATAAAGGGATGCCATATAATTTTTTAAATACAAAGAGATTTTAAGCTCAATTTTTCGAAAACACATAGGAGTTATGAGCAGTTTTACCTTTAATATATGATGTATTATAAATATGTTGTATAAATATATATTGGTCATCCCTATAGCATATGTTGATCCGATCAAATCAGCACCATACTGACTTGAGCGGCAACTTTAACTTAATAATTGAACTCATATTAACCTTCAACTTACCTCCATAAGAAAACAAGCCGAGGCACTTCGAATCGCGGTATTGATCAAACAAATCCGGACTACTCGAATTAATGGCTACTGCCCTCGCGATCCTTTTGCAAAGCTCCCAATTCGGTTCGCCAACAACATACAAATGTTCATCCGAATCGGCTGAATCCATACCAAAACAGCTCCAGCACGTATAATTTTGCGCGAAACCAGAACCAAGACACGGATGTCTAACTTCGAACGTTCTTCCTCCATGACTCAGCATCACAACACTCCTACCGAACGCTTCATTCAAACCAAAGGCAGGCAACGAATACGCCACAATATCGCGCCGAACACGCCCTATCTTCGCTCGAAATACACGCTCATCTTTAATCGAACCATCAACTTCCGCCACAACCTGCAACGACGAACCTCCTAGATCAAGAAGCCCCAATGTAGGCACCCGCGACGTGCTCCCAAACACTCCCATTCGATAATTCAGCGCCACCCAACCGTAATACGCCTCTTCCTTCCCACTCAAAACCCGAATCCAATCCTCCCTGTACAAAAATCCATGCTCTTTCACGACACGCCGGATATTCTCCAACACCAATGCAGCATCCTCTGCCGCGAGTCTCCTCATTCCGGCAGTGGCTAATGCTAATATAGGCGTCGTGAATCGCCTTTCCAATGGCACCCGGTGCTCCGCATATCGAATCAATGGCTCCAAAGAAGCCCTCACAGCAGTCGAATTATAGACGAAATTGTGCAAACCAGGCTCAGTTTGCAGGCAGTGGTACTCACAACCACTGGTTATGTTCTTCCTGTCTGGATAACTATGCAACATGATAGGTAAACCGCCATTGACAGAGCTTCCATTTCCTATAAGCCATTCGAAAACACTAACTCTTGAACCAGTGCTTCCGCAATCCAACACAACTGTGAAATACGTGTGGATCTTCTCAGGCATTCTATAATGATGCTTAAACATCAAATATCCACAAACTCCTAAGCTCAAAACGATCAAAACGACGATTGCGATTGATTTTCGCGATCGAAGAATGTACGGAAAACCTAGATTCTGAAAAATTTTCGATTTCGAAGGCGTCTCCGCCTCCATTTCTAGCTTCAGCTACAAATCCAAATCCTTCAAAAATAGCGATCTAACGAATGCATAATCTACCGGAAGATTCAGTACAGATTGCATTAATTCATTCAAAATAGTAAATCGCACCTTCAGCTGGCTCCGAGCAGCAGAGACTTGAAGTTCTACCGAGCGATCCATTGCTGGAATTTGGATCATACAGTAAACCAATTCCGATCAGTAATGCATATTTAAGACCACTGAACATAGCCCAAGCTCAAGCCCAAGCCCAAAATTTTGGCCTGAAGCTTATCCTTAATTTCAGTTCTTGCGTTCGCAGAGTTCGAGATCGGTTCTTTAAAAATTTTTGGTATTTTGAGTTGGTATTCGTGTTTCATTCGTCTAGGCTCGATTAAATTTATTTAAGTTAGTTCAAAGTAGTATATTTCACCTTTTTTAATTTATATATAAATTAAAAGGAAATTTTAAAATTATTTTATTTATATATTTAAAATTAATATTTTATTTATTTATAAAGTATAATTTTATATGTTTAAATAATATTTATAATAAATATATTATTTAAGCAAACGTTCGCGAACAAACTTCGGACTCGTTCGTTAATCAAACGAGCATATTTATGTTGTTCGACTCGACTTGTCAACGTTCACGAACGAGCTGAGTTTACAACCGGCTCGGTTTGTTTAACCGTTCTAATGGCCGCCACCCGAGCCCTCCGGCGGGGCGACCACGAAAAGGCCTTTGCCATCGTCGATTCCCTTGACGTATGGCGCCTTCTCAACAACAAAGACGGCGTTCTCGAAATGGTGAGAGGTAAAATCAAGGAAGAGGCTTTGAGAACGGACCTTTTCACATTTTCGTCGTCATACGAATCCGGGAGTCTTGACCACCTGTCGAAAATTTTCGAAATCTCCAACAGACAGACCCACGGCGTCGTCAGCCAGATGATGATGAACGAGGAGCTCCGCGCCAGCTGGGACCAGCTGACGCAATGCGTTGTCTTTCACAACGTCGCCCATACGCGGCTGCAGGCTCTCGCATTCCAGCCGGCGGTAAGGTTTTTTGTGTTTCTCGCCCAAAACATGACAAAAACAAAGATTACTATATTTTTTGTATTTCTTTTGCAAAATTTTTCTAAATTTTATTATTTAGATTATGGATTCTACAGTTTACATAAACGAAAATAATACACTTTTTTTTTTTCTAACAAAATGTTCCATCAAATATTATCAAAAGTATCTCAGGCATGTTGTTCCTATAGGCAATACCATAAATATTCGACTCAATCTATTTACACCTACTCGAGAAAAGATAGCCGAAAAACTTGCATTAACAAAAAGTAGATCATACGATCGCATTGTGGCTGGGGTGCGCAACTGTCAAAACTGAAAGATGGAATCGGAAACTACGACTGGAGAACCGGCACCTCCTTAGCAGCTGCCGATTTTGCTTTCTGAAAAATACAACACTCAGCTTCGCCGAAAAAAATAAATAAATATCACCGGTTGGCATCTTAACTACTTACATTAGATTTTTCGATCCACAAATCAAGTGTCTTGAGAGCTTTGCCTGATTGATGAATGTTGCGGGCAAGATTCACTCCCTCGGCAAGTTTGCCTACGAGGCCGCTGACCAAAAGGGCAGCAGCTGCATTCAGAACCTACGGTGGAATGCATTTATGCAAAAATTTAATAAACTCGTCATTTTTATAAGCATAAATCGAAATTTTGGTTAGAAAGAAATGCAGATTAATTACCAAGGAATCAGCAATCGACCCCTTCTCCCCAGCCAGTACGCGTCTAAGTGCATCCGCATTGTAATAAGGATCTCCACCGCGCAAATCCTCAACAGTGCAACGAGGGATCCCGAAGTCCACTGGAAAATGACAATTGGTAAAATCAAGGGATTTTTGCTAGATGTGAACATCATTATATTGTTAAGGTAGCGCAAAGCTTCTTACATGGATCAAATGCGAACTTTTCTATCTTATCTGGAGTGACATCCAGGACTAATCCAGGCCCTGTTTAAGTTTTTGAGAATACCGATTAAAATTTGATGGAATAGATACCGTAAGCAAGAAAAAGAAGAATGCAAGATGCACTTTACCAAGAGGACTCATCTCGTCCAATCCCTCGGAATGGACAATCAATGCTCTTTTCATGCCGAATCTTTGAAGAGCACTTGCCATTTTATGCACCTAGTAAGTGACAATTGTTACAAGTTATATTGGGTAACTTCAATCTTTCTCGCAGTTAACCATTCGGAAAGTAGAAGCAATAATAGATAAAGTTGCTGAAGAAAACATAAAACATTGGTAGCTCACGTACCAGCTCCTCATGGTATACTCCAACAACAGCAAAATGAACTCGTGCCGGATTCAGCATGGGCCCCAAGATATTGAACACCGTCTTTATTTTAAGCTTTTTCCTGACTGGCCTAACAATTTGCATTGCTGGATGATAAATTGGAGACATCATAAAGCCGATTCCTACTTCATTTATGCACTCTGCAATCCCCTATGCAATAAAAATCGTTAAAATTTAGTTAACGCTGGACAGAGTATATGTACAAAAGTTAATCACAGTTTTCTGAAGAATCGAACTTTAGAAAGAGATGGGAAAGAAATCGTCAACAGATTCTACCAAAGGACAGCGGCTGTGGCAGAAGCAATAATCTTGCAAATAAATGAAAAGCATATTGCATAATTCCGCAAGTACCAAGCTACGACATTCCTGGCGACGCTATTTTCAATATGGGCGGGATTACAAGGTGAAACATGTTTATTTTTGTGAAGACAAGACTATTCATTTGCAGGGGAACTGTCTATAGGCCAGTGCGATAACTAAATAGCATGAGAGAAAACGACTAAAGTTAAAAATAGATCTATAATCCATCTCTGCTCAAAATCAATCATTATCTCGAATACATACATTCTTAATTTCTACAATATGATCATGAATGTCCATGTGTCAGTGATCCATGTTAAGATGTAACTATTTACTTAGCAACACACTCTTTACTCTCTGTTAAAAATCAAAAGGGCGTGCTCCATGTTTTCGGTTGCAAACCATGTTGATTGCAGAGAATATGTACATAAAAAATGATACAACAAAACAAGATACTATTAACTGCTCATACCTCTGGTCCCAAGTTAATTTCAACTCCCAATTGTTCAAGCACATCAGCACTACCACAAGCAGATGAACTCGAACGATTACCTTGCTGTATAGCAATAGTAAATTTAAAAATCAGTTTAATGAAACAGTGAAAATTACCAATCTGAAAAATATGAATAACAAATCACCTTAGCAACTTTTGCCCCACAAGCTGCTGCTAGAATTGAAGCCCCTGTAGAGATGTTCACTGTATTTGCACCATCCCCACCTGTCCCAACAATATCGACAGCATCCGTCACTCCCTCGACTTTCCTGCAGTGCAGTAGCATTGCTCTTGCCAGCCCTGCAACCTATTTAATATCAGCAGCATGCATTCCACTTGTTTCCAACAATTATGAGCCTCACTACCTCACCAGTTCCGAATAAATACACCAATTTCACTTTCTTACAACAATTCAAACTCCATTTTTATTTTGATTTTCCTAATTTTGGGTGAGTGCCATACTGGTTGATTTTCCAACAATTATGACCCTCAATACCTCACCAGTTCCTAGTAAATACATAAATTTCACTTTCTTACAACAATTTGTATTCAAATTCGAATTCCAACTCAATTTTTATTTTTGATTTTCCTAATTTTGGGTGAGTGCCATACTGATTAATAACGTGGACGTAAAAGACAGCAAGATAATCCCCAAAAGCAATATCAAATGCTACTATATGAGCTGTGTAGATGCTTTCAGATGGTAGATAGAATTCAAACTACCAAATTTAGGAAACACGTACAATATAAAATATTTGCACATTTTCTATTCTTCACATATATTCACTTACTTCTTCATCAGTTTCGCCTTTAGCTCTCAAAAGCACCAAAAAAGCACTGATCAAAGCCTCGTCAGCGCCATCCAACAAGAAATCGAGAGAAGCCTCTGCTTCAGCTTCCGATAAATTTTTCCCGCTTATCAAAGCCTCAAGCAACTGTAACTCACCAAAAAACACAAAACAAAAATCTTAGCATACTCAAACCTCGAAGACGGATTGATTTATCTGAATTCCAAAATTAAAAAGAGAAAAAACAAATCGACATTAGTGAAAATAAACATACACATCATTTATTTCACCTGATTAAAAGAAGACGTAGAGAATCCGTCGCCGCTCGAACTCGGCAAAGCGAACGGCAGAAAATTCGAAACCTTGACATCGACAGATGCCTGAAAATTTCCATTCTTCGTCGCGCATCTCGGCAACAAATTTCTGAATTGATTTCCGCCAAGCGACGAATACCGAGACCGCGGCGGAGTAACGCAGAGCGGATTGTGGTGAAAAATCGACATTTCTGCAACGAATTCTTGAGCGGAACCGAAGAATCGGACGAACCAATGCACAGTCTCTCAAGCCAAATCTGAGTGCGATTTGACTCTCAAATGACTTTTGTAGTTAAGAGATTATGATGTAATTAGAAATATAATCCTTAATTATTTTTATTTACCATATAGTAATAAATAACGTGGGGTATTTATTTGTACATCATTACTTAGGTCTGACACAAAATGATTGGCTATAAATGCACAACGTAAAAAATTGCTTCAAATTGTATTACTGGTTGTAGTCATGTGATGCATTTTTATTTTTGAGCGAGGGTTTGTTTATGTTCTCGAAATAATTTTGCTTTTATATTAAAATAATGCTCCACCTTCCCAACACAATTGATACTGTTTTTATTTTTATTTGTCCCGTAATGGATACGTTTCTTTTTGGTAAAAATAATTAAAATAAAATATATTTAACAAATATAAATCAACTTAATTAACTATATAACATACAACATCATAAATAACATAGGAACACTCAAAACCTCTTTATTTTTATCTCTCTCTTAAAAAAAATAAATATTTTTATCTATATTTAAAACTACACATCTTTCATAAAATTAATTTATATTAATTATAAATAAACAAAAATATTTTTTTATTTACTTGTATTATAGAAGATTTTATTCTCTACATATATCCATATTGCATATATTTTTTAATTGCTATATAATTTTTAAATATTTAAACATATATTTAAATTTGTTTAATCATATATATATATTAAATTTATTTTAAAACTGTAAATATTATTAATTATACAAAAAATAATATAATAATATCATAACTAATTATTATTAACTAATTAAACATTCTTACTTTAAATACAATGTCTCTAATCAAAGGGTTCAATTCCGGTGAGACGGAGGGAGTATATAATATGATATTTTGTGGAAAAAAATAAAATTTAAATAATAAAAATGTGAAATTTGAAGTTCAAATAAACAAATTCTAAGAGTTATAAATTTTAGTGTTTTGATTTTTTTAGTTAGATTAATTAGGTATTTTAATTATATACAAATTATTTTAACTAACTAATTAATTAGTTTAATAAAAAAATAAAATAACATAATAAAGATAAACAGAAATGAAAAAGTGAAGGCTACATTGTGGGAGTAATAATTTCTCAATCTCCGTTGCTATGCACCTAACCCAGCCTTATTTGACACCAGTATATCCAAAGTCGCGTTTTCAGGCATTGAAACTAGACAGAGCGAGTAGCGACTTTAGGATTCAAATCCTACCGTCCATCTTCAAGATCTGAAATGTCCTCCTACATCGATCAATTCTGCCCATGTCTTCCTGAATCTTGAAAACCTACACCACTCTCGTGTCCATCCCTTCGCCGCAATTCAATTCGATGATTCCGGCGGCGTAAGCACTGGATTGGCCCTCCTTGTTGCTTTACCGGCGTCGCTGAAGCTTCAGACATATTGAGTAGGAAAAAAAAAAAAGAAAAAATGATAAACGGAGAGGGGGCTGAGGAGAAGTCTGCGGTCGCCTCTCCGTGTGATCGAGAATCGGACGGCGGAGATGATTTATCGCACTACTCATCCTGCGGAGGCGAATCGGAGTACGAAAGGTACTGTAGCGCAAGCTCCGCCATGGGAACCCCTAATTCTCGTAGCAATTCGTTGAAAGATGCTGATGTTTGGTCGCTGAAAGGCTTCAAGCTCGGGGGCGAAAATAGCGCGTTTAAGAGTTTCAGAGCTGAGAGATTGTTATCCGCGTATCGAGAATCTGAGAAGGGGAATGGATTCTGCCATGGCAATGAAAGAGCTGAGGGTTTTGCAGTGAGTAAGGTTGGGATTAACAATGGTGGAGTTTCAGGCGTGGGAATTGATGGAGATGAGCATAGGAATTTATCTGATGAGAGTGAGGCTGATGCTTCGTCGAGATCGGAGCATTCGGAAGGGGAGGACTCGATGTTTGGCTGTGGCAGTGATGATGAGAGGAGGAGTGGTTTTTACTTTGGGGAGAATGCAGGTTTTAATGGTGGAAATCGGCGGGACAAGGATCGATTAGCTATGGATTCAGCAGTGGCATTCGGCGCTGATGATTGGGACGATTTTGTTCAAGAAAATGCACTTGATTCGATTGTTTGGGATAGAAATCAGGATGACGTTCATTCTAGCATTCAAAGGAATCGATTAGCTATGAATTCGGAAGTGGCATTTAGCAACGATTCTGTTCAAGAAAATGCACTTGATTCAATTGTTTGGGATGACATTGGTGTTGGGACGTCGAGTTTGAGTGCTCCCAGTTCAGTTTCTTGTGGACATTTGATCGGGAAAGGAAATGAGAATGAGCTTGGAAGTAGGCTGGAAGCTTGTAGTCGAGCTGGAGGTGTTGTTGAATCAGCAGAGGGAGATATGAATGCTCTATCATTGAGTCGTGCAAAAGATGAAGTCAGTGACATGGATGAGTTGGCTGAGTATATTGGATACAATCTCGATTCGGATATGTTTCAAAGAGACAAGAATCGAGTGGGAAAGGAAGACACAACTAAGGCCGTGCCCGTACATTGTGATGCTGTGTTGAAAAACTCCGACTTTCTAGAGACAAGCATGGTATTGGAGCCATTGTCTGAATCTGTCGACAGTAACCATCATTTTGCACGGGGGAAGGGTAAGGAAACACAAGAAACCAGATTAGCTGAAGACGAGAGATTAATTGCATTAAATGTTGCAACGAAGAAGAATTCCGACTTTAAATTTGATCAAATTGAAGATCATTTTGTCCCGGATAAGGTATGTTTATTCAACAATATGTTGCCTGGCGGATTATGATCTTTTGACAGCATTAAATGACATTGTTTTAATCGATTACAGTCACGGCGATTCGGATTGAATGGATTATACGACGAAATTGTTGATGATATGCAAGATATACTGCTCGATGCGGGTGAATCCATGGGGTCAAGGTTTGCTAGTAGGATTCATCAACCTCAATTTCGTCGGGCACCAAGAGATGGTGGTTCGAGTGCTTCTACGTCAGGTACAGAACACACATACAATTCGATGCCGCAGCCTCGTAGAATTGATTGGATCGAGGTTGTAGGAGCTAGACAAAAGAAAGGGGACGTGTCATTCAGTGAGCGGCTGGTTGGAGTGCAGCGATACACCGTGTATCTGATGAGAGTGTCGAACGGGACAGACCATTGGGAGGTGGAGCGTCGTTACCGTGACTTTAACGCTCTGTATTTCCGATTGAAGAAACTGTTTACCGACCATGGCTGGACTCTTCCTTCACCTTGGTCTGCTGTCGAAAAAGAATCTAGAAAGATCTTCGCTAATGCTTCGCCCGGGGTTGTTGCAGATAGGAGTGTCCTTATCCAAGAGTGTTTGCAATCCGTCATTGACCCTAAATTCTTGTCGGGTTGCCACAATGCACTCCTCGATTTCCTCTGTCCTTCAGAAGAGGCGCCTGATTCACCGGCAACTAGAATAAGTGCAATTCAGTCTCCGACTGCTAACAAAGACTCACAAATGGACAAATTTTCCACCCTAGGAAAGACCATATCGCTTATAGTTCACATTCCAGCTCCGAAATCGATGAAACAGATGCTGGATGAGCAGCACTATAGGTGTGCCGGATGCCACAAGAATTTCGATGATGGGAGAACAAGGGTCCGGGAATTTGTTCAGGCGCTAGGATGGGGCAAGCCCCGTCTTTGCGAGTACAGCGGCCAGTTATTCTGCTCGTCATGCCATAACAATGATTATGCTGTTTTGCCTGCTAGAGTTCTGCATTATTGGGATTTTACTCGATATCCTGTGTCGCAGCTGGCTAAATCGTTTCTAGATTCTATTAGTGATAAGGTATTTTTTTAGAATTGTTTCGTGTTCTATGTGTATTTTACAGTTTCTGTTTTTATTAATTGTGATTCTTCTGTTGCAGCCAATGCTTTGTGTTAGCGCTGTCAATCCTTTCCTGTTTTCGAAAGTCCCAACATTGCAACATGTGGCAAATATCAGGAATAGAATAAGAGCAATGGTACCGTATGTCCGATGCCCATTTCGTAGATCCATTTACAAAGGGCTGGGATCTCGAAAATATATTCTTGAAAGCAATGATTTTTTTGCTCTTCGAGACCTCATCGATTTATCCAAAGGAGTATTTTCAGGTGAAGTTATACATATATTATCTAATTTTCTATTTCAAGACACTTCAAATTTATGTGAAATGTAATTCCATTGTTCTGAGAAGGAAGAATAGTATTGCGAAACCAGAAATTGCTGTTTCGAAAGATTTTGGGTATTGAGTTTGAGATGGTGGCTTTAGTGGTTTCCATAGAAGGGACACCTATCAGATGACGATCCTTCTTTTGTTTTATTAGTGATGGCGATACTTAGAAATACCATGTTCTTTGATAGGTAATGTTTTACTTTTTTGGATTACAGCACTACCGGCAATGGTTGAATCTGTCTCAAGGAAGATCCTGGAACATATAACCGAGCAGTGTCTTGTGTGCTACGATTCCGGTATTCCCTGTAATGCTCGAAAAGACTGCGACAATCCACTTTCTCTCATTTTTCCATTCCAGGCACGTAATTATTCATTATTCCATGGGAACAAAGAAAAGAGTAAATGACGTGAAATTCCATTATATGTATGTAGCTCCTGATTTGTGAAAATTGCAATGAACAGGAAGGAGAGTGTAAAAAGTGTAGATCTTGTAAGTCAATTTTCCACAAGGATTGCTTCAAGAAAATAGCTAGTTGTCCTTGTGGTGCTCGTTTTAAGCAAGAGAAGGTGAAGCAAACTGTCGGCGAAGGAGCTCATTGTAATTCAAATCAACTGGAACAAACAGTAGCAGAATCTGACAACGGAAACGGGTTTCTTGCTGGATTGTTCGCCAAGGTAATGCCCGGAAGGTCTCAGGCTGTTAGGAAACAGGAGTTGAGGGGATCTGATAACATTATTTTAATGGGTTCATTACCAAACATGACTCTCTGAACTCCCATCAACTGGTGTATAAGAAACACAAATTGTCGATACCATCATGAAGCCTGCCAAGGTACTTGCTCTTTTCCTTCTGTGCATTCTTTCGATATATGTTTAACATTCATATTGCTCCTGTGTGTGAGTGTATTCTTTGTAATCTAGCTTGAAATTAGGAGATTCTAGTATTTGTTCTTGTTCTTTGTATATAGGACGGTTTGAATGAACGTATTTTAATTACACTCATTTTCTGATGTAATGCTGGAAACATTATAGAAAATAAAATTGTAGAGAAATGATAGACAATAATAGAATTGAAGATAGAAGGAATTAACATATAGCGCAAATTGATTAATTTGTTTGTTAAAATTAAATAATTGAGTTGAGAAATGTAATGTATCAATACGAAGGAGATGATATATTGCTTTCTAGTGGAATGAAAAATTGAAGGTGAATCGATAGGAAGGAGATGATAGATTGGATGAGAGAGGATTTTAGTGAAGTGGAAATCCAATGGTTTGTTTAGTTGGTAATTTTTTATTTTTTTTTAGCTTTGGTTTTTTTATTTGAATAGTAATATGAATGTGATGTTTTGTAAGAGAAAATAATGTCTGTTTACAGTGAATTATGATAGTTGAATGGTATAGAAAAAATAACCAAATGAACACATCGGGTGTGGTTGTTTGAGGGATTGAATTTTGAGTTAGGCTTTGAATAATAAAAATTTTGAATTGTAATAGTTGTATGATGTGATGTTTTAAATGTAAAATTAATTTTTAGTATAATATAAAAAATAAAAAATGAGTATTTGATTTGATGTTTTTGGGGGAAAGGGGGGAAATTGGATGAATAGTAGGATTTTGGATAAATCCTTTAAACGAACACACCCATCCTGTATTTCTGAATTTTTATTTCTTTCCATATCTACATGTGGAAGAAAAATAAAAGCAGAAATTGAGAATTTTTATTTTTCAATTTTAATTTTATCTTACTCAAATAAACAAGAGAAATTGAGATATTTCAATTTCTATGGCTCCATTTTTCTGTACCAAACTCACCTATACGTGTGATTAGATAATTTCTGGAAGTGTTTTGGAGTTTCTGAGAGTTTTGAAAATAGTAAAAAATTGAAAAAAAAAATTTGATGTGATGTAATTAAATGTTGTATACAATGTTTTGTATAGAAAATAAATATTTGATGTAATATAAATATTTTATGATGTTATGAATAGTGCGAAAAGTAATTTGAAAAGATATGTAAACAAAGCCTTAGACACTCATTGGCATGGCATGCATAAAATAAGTAAAAATAAAAATAAAAAAAATCTGTCTGTAATAAATGGCAAAACTGCATCTAAAAGAATCACCCCATGTTTTCCTCGGACTGTCTGTACATAGTTTACAAGAGTATAGATTCGATTCTTGTTGTATGTTATGTATAACATTGTTTGTTATCAAAATGTTTGAAACTTTTGTAACATTGGAAGATATATTGCGAATTTTTATTGACATTTTCTACTGTGCATCTGCTATGTTTTGATCATTTCTCGCCTTTTCTATTTGAATTCCGGTTGCTATGCTTTTTGCCTCTGAAGCTACTGTAATGTCCCTGAAATCTTTGTGCTGCGTTTTAGTAAGAATTAACTCGGCACACCTCTGTACGACTGCGGAAACCACTTAGACAGCAAAAAGTGCTTTGCCTTCATTATTAATAGGAAAATCCCGAAGCACGGTATGTGCATCAATGCTACTGTAGAATACCTGCATAGATTTGGTAAAAAAACTTCTGTTTGTTAGATAGAAGGTTTGGAAGTATTCCCTTTAGACAAAGACTTTTGAAGCCTTGAAAAAATTTGAGAATAATAAAATTAGTATTGGTAATATTACTTATAACTCCCCTATAGTTTCGAAATTCAGCGTAAAATCTTTCTATACTTTAAAAATTGCATGTCACCTCTTTATACTTTAAAAAACGTTGCATGAAGCTCCACCGCCATGAAACTTCCCTGGTGTGATGAGAAGATGATTTCCTATCTATATTTTTTTGCGTGATGGGGGGTTTCATGCAATATTTTTTAAAGTATAAGAGGGTGCTATGCAATTTTTAATAAGGATTTACGCTAAGTTTCGAAACCACGGAGGGATTTCATGTAACTTTTTTCAAAGTATAAGTGGCGTCATGCAATTTTTAAAGTAAAGATGAAATGTACGCTGAGTTTCGAAAGTACAAGGGAGTTACAGACAATTTTGCCATTAGTATTTGATATGTTGTTTTCTATGGAGAATATGTACTTGCTGAGATTTTTTTAAGTTATTGATAAATAGTTCCGAAAGTGTAAAATTTTGGAAATAGTAAAAAGTCGAGTATTTGATATATTTTTTGTGAGGGGTACAAAGTGTTTGATTGATATTATTTGAAAAAGCTACTGTTGATGAATAATCTATGTAAACAGAAATGGACTGAAATAATTAGAACATATGATGTTTACTTACCATAGCGGCGCGTATGAAGAAGACAAGTCGAGGAAAGGATAAGGCCACCTGTTTAGAGAAGACTAGCGTTTATTAATGAGGTGCACACGGAATGTGGCGAAAAAAGCATCTTTAGTTCTAACAGAATGTCTTGTTTCAATTTTAGCCCCTAATTTTGGCTTTACATTTACTCTAACTTGCAGTTTTAGCATAGTTTATTTCAAGTATTGTAAGATACAGAGGATTAGAATTTTCATACAATGTAAGGATTCGACATAAATGGAGACTCACGATCGAAGAATGTGATTAGGCTGAATCCCTAAATCATAGGATTTAGGATTTTTCGACATTTTTTGACATGAATGTGATTAGGATGAATCCCTAAGCTATAGTTTAAACCTCGAGATCACATTTTGAAACATAGGATTTAGGATTTTCACAGACAATAGGATTAGTGTTGCCAAATTTAGTATCGTTAGGGTAACTGAGTTAGCAAGAACTTACCAGATCGAAACACAGGCGTGGACTATCCACTGGAAAACGACGTAGACACAAGTCCATAGAAAGAAGTATCCGATCCGAAACCAAGGGAATCTCTGCAATAAAATACATAATAGCAGCAATGGTGAGAGATTTGTAAGTAGTTATTAATAAGTGACTTTCTTAGGTCTTACCAGGCTGTTTAAGGTTGTCTCGACCAGCAAGAAAATGGCGTTTATCGAGTGCATGTTTATGATCAACTGCACAAGATTTCGGACATTATATTATTTGCTTGCAACAGGATGTAATGATATGTGTAGGAGCAGCTTTGGGAAGTTCTTACAAAGTTGAGATTGTAGTCTTTGATGGCGAGAAAGGGCACGATTATGAACCAGAACACGGTGTCTGTCAGCATCACAGCTCCTGCATTCATCTTAACAGAAATCGAGAAGCTATTAGAAATTAGAATCCCCATTCGCTCGCGGGCGTTAAAAGGTTGTAAGAATGTTGGAGTCGTTTCGCTAACCTGAAAAATGATCTGGAAGATATAAGCTAAAAATCCGGCCTTTTCCCGCGGTTCTTGATTTAGGACAATGCCTTTGGTGGCATTCTCAGCGTCGAAATCGTTTTGGCTGCCGGTATTGCTGTAGGTAATGCATCCGCGCACGGATAGCAATGTCCCGAACTGCAATGGAATTCGATGTAAGACAATGGAAATCTGTTCGGACATGAAAAAGGATTCCCGAATTACTCACGGCGAAGTAGATAGTGATCAGCGTAAAAGTCCACCTGTTCGAAAAGACAACATTAAGGATCGGAATTCATTAAGAAGGAATTAATTAACGAGTAGAACTGAATCGAGCTTTTTTCTGACGTACTGTGTGTAGAAGTAGAAGATGCTCCCGCCGTCGACGACAACGTTGAGAATGAGCATTAGGAGGAGTATACAAAATGCAAATGCTCTAAATGCAAGCAGCCATGAAGGATGGATGCTTTCCAGACAGGGCTTCCATACTTCATCCTCGTACACGAGTCCCGGTGGCGGCGGCGGCGGGGGTTCGTCCCTCCGTCGATTATCACCGGCGGCGGCGGAGTTGCGACATTCGTATTTGGAAATAAGAATCGATGCGAAAACCATCGACATTAATATCCAAATGGAACAGAGAACGACTCTCCAATTCAGCCAATACGCCGCCGTGGTGGTGTCGACTGTCATCCCCGGCTGCCACGACTTCGTCGAGCCGGTTATAAATGTCAGGAAGCTCATCCTTTGTTGCCTGTCGGAATCAGACAATCGACGAATTATCGAAACAATCAATCAATTGCAAGGAATGTTACAATTAGGGCAGGGAAGGTTTATGTAGATGTGAAGAAGTTCATCCTTTTGCCTGTCTGAGTTCAGACTAAAAATTGAAACAAATTTCGATTACAGGAAGAATCGAAGCAATGAATCAATGGAATTTTGAGGATGTAGAAATTAGGGCAGAGAAGGCTTATGTAGGAAGTAAGGAGACAGGCCTTCTTATGCCGCCATTGCTGCAAATATTAAACAAAACCAGAGAAGATGAAGATGAAGAAGAAGAAGAAGAAGAAGAAGCAAAGAGAGAGGTTAATTGGATTAAGCAAGCAGAGATTCTTCCATGGCAGAGAGAGAGAGAGAGAGAGAGAGAGAGAGAGAGAGAAAGGTTGATTGAAAGCAAAGGAAGAAGAAGAGAGAATAACAATAAATGGACAAGGCACAGAAACAAGGAAGAAGAAGATGCTTTGCTTCCTTCATTTGAACAATACATTTATTTATTTATTAAAATAAAATAAATATAAAGGTAATATTGGTGGGCTTTCCCTATAAGCTTCATTCTTTTCCTCACCTTCTATAGCATACAAGTTTTTGGATTTTTGAAAATTTTTAAAAATAATAAAAAATTAAATATTTAATACAAGATTTTGTGACACAAACTAGTTATAGGGTTATTTTTCCAAAAACATATTTAAAGAGAGCTGCATTGAAAGTTATGCTTGTATGATTGGATATTAGAAAATTATTATTTTAATGTAAAATTAGAAATTATACTAGATTATATGTTGTTTCAAAATAGTGACATTTTTTGATGGCTTTGAAAAAAATTTAGTTTGAATTTAATATTAAAATAATGCAAGATGTAATATTATTAGAGATTTTTTTTTTTTTTTTTGAAATAATAGAAATTTGAGTTTAGAAGCAAAATAAACAAATCTTATGTTCTTTTATCATTTTTTTCCCCAAGTTGTGATAAATTAAAGGTAACATTCTAAGTAGATGAAAATTTTAGTTAATTATGGTATAAGTTTAGCTATACTATAGATACATATATGTGTATATATATATATATTGTGTTATGTGTAGATTTGTTTATCTGATGAGATCCCACAAAAGGGATTGGTTTAAAATCTCATGCATCTCTATATTCCATGCATATATATATATATATATTCTATAGCATGTTACCAATGTAGGACTTGTCATCTTTTCTTGTACAGTTTTGCAGCCTTGATTTGAGTCTTTTATCGGGTGGGGTTGGGGGGGGGGGGGGGGGGGGGGGGGGGTGTGGGGGTGGATTCTGTTGGGAACACTCATATACTATTTGATTAAAATTTATACATATGGTTTGTAGGGAATAAAAGCACCTGTATAAAAGGGGTTAATTGCACTGTCTTAATATTCCACTCTTTCACTCTTTATTGTTATTTTGGGAGATAAAGAATGGATTTTCTTACACCCCGCACCCTACCCCACCCCACCCCACCCCACCCCTTGAATGGTGGTATGGGTTGAAAAGAAGTTAAAGAAGAAATGACCCACCTGCCCCAAGTGTTTAGTTTGAATATCTTTATTTCACAATTTGGACCTAAATTTGGGAACACCATTCAAAAGTGGTCCAAAATATTTTTTGGTTCTTGATTTTACCAAAGGTAATAAAAATAAATTGAAATAAATAAAATTCCATTGATTTCGAGACATGTTTTGCATCTACAAAGCAATGACCATTGACCCACAATATATATATATATATATATTTGTGTGTTTTGATTTTTTTAAATTTTATTGATTTTTTTTAGGTGAATAGTGATTAAATGTGAGTTTTATATTTCAATAGAAATAGAAAAAAAAAATTTGAGAAGGAAAAATCTGACAGAGAATAGAGCTTAATTTACGAGTGCCGTGCAATTTTGGATCGACAATTAAATTTTGTGGGTCTTTGTATTAACATTCAAGTTGATTTTTTTTTTTTATTTATTTTTTTAAAAAAACCTTGAAATAAATGAGGACAAAATGAAAATGTGAAGAAAAAGCAAGAATATTTTTTTAAAAAAAAATAAAAAATTAATAAGTAATAGAGTTTTATATTATATAATAATATAACTATTAATTCATGGAATACGTGTGTTTCAAGCTAGACTTATTTTAAAAATAATAAGCTATAAATTTAGTTACCATGCATTAATTTATTTTGAAAATCTATTTTAAAATGGTACTAATTATTCAAGTATATCACAAATAATAATACTAGAAAAAATAGTAATAGAGTGTGTATATATATATATATGTATTAATTGGGTCATATATATATATATATATTCTAATATGTATATATTCAAAATATCTTTGTGAAAATAAGATCATATTATTTATTATTATTATTATTATTTTAAATAAATAAAGTTTGATGGGAAAGGGTGCTATTAAAGTCTTGGAAAATATGAGAGTTGGATTGGACAACTAAAGTCGCTATTAAAATGAAGAAAGTCGTTATTTAGAAGAAGTAGCGTTTCTTCATATGTGTTGATTAAGCGTAACTTTGGCCCAAAGCAACCGCGTTACACCACAAATGCGCTTTTCTCGTGTCCTTCCTTATTTACGCATTTGCCGGTCACGTGACATTCTTATCTGGTCACGTGACACTCTCTAATAAATAGCGTTTGATTAATTTATGTATAATTACTATACATGAATTAACTATTGGATTGTTAATTATTATATATATATATATATGTTTCTATTTGTTTATTTGTGATCATGTGTAAGGTTTAAATATCTTTGAAAATATAATTAATAGAGAGCAATATAATTGTAATTTTAAATGAAATTTAAAAGTATTTTATTTTAAATTCATAAATTAGAGCAGACAACAAACTAAAATGATAAAATTGATAGATATATATATAGAGAGATAGATAGATAGATAGAGAATACTGATTCAATCAAATCAGTATAGTGTTAATTTGATTGAACCGGTATATCATATAAATGCATACAACATATATTTTTATATAACACAACGTTATAAGATATCATATGCTGAGTTGTAACATAATATATGTTATCATAAACATGTTATGATAGTATATAATATATGTTGATTATTTTTATATGATATGCTGACTCAATTAAATAAGTACAATCCTAAAGATCCGCGACTATATATATATATATATATTAATAGCAGATAAAAATGAAGTAATAACATAAAATTACCTACAAAAGTTAGCACTTGTGTTTCAAATTTTATCGTCGTTGTCGTCACTGTATCGATAATACGAATGTAAATAACATACAAAAATTAATAACTGAAGACATATATATATATTGTTTTATTTTAGAAAATTAAAATGAATACTCGATCGATAGACTATAAAACTTACAAATATTTGCGCTCTTATCGATCGCCCCCACCGCGAAAAAAGTAATAAGTACATAAAATGAAAAAAATATATATATAGAGAGAGAGAGAGCGAGGAATGTATGTATTCATGTATAATTGTTACACAAAGAAAGCATGAGCGAGAAAGCAGAAATAATGTATGAATCCAACACACATCAATCACCTCTACAAATTCATGTTTAATTATTATTCCCTCTATTTTTGTTCTCTCTCTCACTCTAAATCATTCTTAACCAATCTTCTCTCTCACACACACATATCATTCGTATATATATATAGAGAGAGAAATGTATAGATATATATATGCATGACTTTGTATGTATAATATATATATGTATGTATGTATGTATATGTACGTAGGGTGCATGTTTAGTTCATGATCACAACGTCCAACGGCACAAATCTTTCGTGTCTATTATTATTATTATTATTATTATTATTATTATTCATGTGTTAATTTGTAACGTGCATTCCGTTGGAAAATCAGTTAATTATTTACTTATAAAATTTAATTTTATATTAATTTAATTCGTAATTTTTGAAACAGTTGAAATGCATGTGAGCTATATATATAACTTTTATTATTAGTATAATTTAAGAATATGAATACTATTAAGTCATAAACGGCTCATGCCACCCACCTCAATCAGATAATGATAAAAGTATGCTACTGTGAATTTTGTCTCGAACTTAAAAGTCATGATCATGGTCGTGGGTTTAGGTTTGAATTTGGTGAATGCTAGACTTGACGAAGTCTATTATGCTCCGAAATCAAATCGAAATAATAAAATATTATATTGAAATTTAAGAAAATATTTGAATTCAAAATTTCAAATCAATCATTATGAATAAAATAAACGGTTATCAGAGTTAATGCAGACAGTTTTGAAGATTACTGATTATTAAACGTCGATATTTTCGACTCGACTTAATTACCCTGAGGGTGGAGTGCCTATAGAAGGTCATTCCCACCACTTTCCAAAACAACAATTTCGAAACCTCCTCTCTTGCTTATTTCTCTTGAGTGCTTTTTCGGCGAAGTTTGTGATGAGTTGTACGACACAAATCCGAAAACTTTCTTTTAAACCTAAGTCGATCGACACAATTCTTTGTCCAATTATTTTAGTTCGTTGGAGTGTCATCTAATTCAAAGAAAAACGTTGTTCTATTTTTGGAACATTACATCATGATTTGGAGGCGCACTACTGGGCGTATTTTAGATATATTTTAGTACGACTCGACATGATTATTGGTTTTTTTTTTTCCGATAATTGTTTTGATATTCTTGTAATATAATAAATTTTCAACATATTCTTTTGTGCCGTTAGAGCCGACAAAAATAGATACGATCTAAAAATTCAATCCAAATTCAACACGAAAAAACTATGTTTAAACTAATAAAATAAGTCCAAAAATTTCGGGGAGCCCGTGTCTAGCCTCACACAACGAGAAGCCGGGCCATGCTTGGCCCAGCCCATTTTAGTATATTAAATAAAATTTTTAATAAATACTTTTATAAATATATTAACATTATATCAGAAATAAACATGCAATTTTATTGAATTTTTTTTCTTATTAGTTGTAGGTCATGAGTTCAATTCTTATATCCTAGGCTCCTAGGCTCGACCATAAACCGGACTGGGCTTGTCCTGGCAAGGATTGAAAATGGACCGGGCCAATCCGGCACAAAAAATCCAAACGGGCCAAAATTGCCACCCTTATGTGCCGTGTTTAGGTACAATAATGATCCGCTAATGTAATTTGATTATTATTTAAAATTGACTTGAAATAAAATATTAATTGACATAATCACAAATAAGACTTATGTTTCTATCAATATGTCATTTTTCTTCCAAAAATATATTCAATTATGATATTTAATATAAAACATCACATCTAATAATTATTTAAAGCTAAAAAAAATATTAGAAGGAATACAAAACATTTTTTTTGCTAAATTTATATGCTACCAAGAAATTGATTTTTGTATAATATACTACAAATATACAAATATGAAAGCAAAAATGTGGAGGTTTGAGTTTGAAGAATAAGCTTTTCAATTTGAATAAATATTTAATATGATATAAATAAGAGTATTAATTTGATAAAATATAAAATTGATTTTAATATAATATAAAAAAATTGTATATTTTTTATTTGATATTTTAGGAGAATTATATATATAGTAAAAAACTTATAAAAACAAACACAATCAATTTAATCGATTAATTTAAATCCAAATCAACACTATTTATTTTGTACGATTTTCAATAAGGTGCAACATTGGTTTCGGACACGGATTTTTAGGTGAGTAGTATTAAGTAAGATAATTTAGAAATTAGGTGATACGATGCAGAGATAAATGTATATTTTATTTGTTTTTATTTGGGTGATGAGATGTGATAAAATGTGGTGTAGAGATTAAGTATAATTAATTATTTTATATTTTGAAAATATTGACACATATAAAAAGGAAATGTTGAACTATTGAGACGGATGGAGTACTATTTTTCTTACAAATTATATCAATAAAAATTAAAAGTAACATCCTATTTCAAATTACATACTTTTTTTTTTCAATTTTTTTTTTGTTATATTCTATAATTTATTATTATTATTATTATTTAAAAATGTTATAGTATAAAAGGATTGGGTCCAAATGATAAATGTCTCAACATAAGTTAGTTCACCTGTCAAAAAATTCATTAAATTTAGATATTTTATTTAAAAAGTAGTTTTCAAATTGATATTGACTACTGACTCTTGTAGACTCTTGTAGTGGGAAGATTCGGATTCCATTTAGGAAATAAAATAAAATAATAAAAATGAATCAACCAAAGGTGTGTTTTTTCGGGTGGTATGATGTGATATAAATAGGTGTTGTGATGTTTTGAATGTAAAATTGATTTTTAGTATAATATAAAAAATAAAATAAGTGTTTGATTTGATACTTTTTAGAAAAAAAAAATTGAATGAATAGTGAAAATCTAATCTAATCCCCCAAACAAACACACCCTAGATCAACTAACCAAAATAAATTTACATAAAATAATTTTATGTGATATTTCAATTGAAAATTAATATTAATATAAATTAAATATTATTTATTTCTATTTAGATTCAATTTTGACTATTCAATTCCAAAAAGTGACCCTAAACATTCTCAAAATTCCAAGAATATCCCCTGTATATAAACCCATTTTCCGACTGCCCCTTCGACGGAGCTTCCCGAAATCGCACCGCCGCCTCAGAGAAAAATGCAGAGCTCCGCCATAGCTTTTTCCTCCTCCTCCCTCTCGCTCCACGCCGCTCGCCGGAATTTCGAAAGGAATGGCTGTAATCACCTCTCGCCGTCCCCGGTGGAGCAGCTCCGTATCACCACTGCTCCATCGTTGACAGTGGTGTCGAATTCGAATTCTTCTTCGCGCCGGAGATTGAGCGCGATTGGAAGCTCTCTGAAGCCGATCGGGTGGATATCTGACGCTAATAATGGAAGTTCGGACGGCATTGTGGTTCGAGCCACGGCGGAGAGCGCCGGAGAGGCAGAGAGCGCGAAGTCTAGTCGCTTTGGGGATATGTTGGTTCTGGGGATTCTTTTCAATCTGTGGTACCTTTTTAATATCTACTTCAATATCTATAACAAGCAGGTAGGTTGTCTCCTTTTTTCTATCTTTTTTTTTTTTTTTACCTTTCTGTAGATTCGTTTTGTGTGATTTTGACAAAGAAATTGTTGGTTTTCTTATGCTAAATTTGGTGTTCGAATTTTCTGATGAAATGCTGAATTCTCTGTAAATTTTAGTTAAAGCTATTGGTGTTTTCCCCGTGTTGTAATTGAATAATTGCTTTTTTGATATTTTGTTGTGCGGACAAAATGCAGTCAATTTTTCTTCGTCGTATAGTTGTTTACTCCTCTCCTCCATTGATGTTTTCTGAGTTACACGTGTAAAGATTTCTCTGTGATTATACTACTTTAGTGTTCTAACTGCTGTTTCAGAACCTGAACCTGGTTATTATTATTCTTATTATTTTGTTTATTTTAGCAAATGTGAAGTAATGATTGAAGGTAATATTTTGAATGGAAAATGAAAAAGTATGTTGAATATAATATGTATACTTCTACGGAAATTAAGAAATTGAGAAGTATGAAAAATGAAATATCATACAATCAAGTTTTTGGTATGCTTGACTTCTAATTTTCTTTTATTTTGTTTTTGGGTTTTGGTTTTTTATCTTTTCTGTTTTTGGTCTTGCTTTTTTTTTTTTTTTGGGTGTGTGTTTTCCTAAGTGGGAAGGATTTTCAGCTGCTATGAACCCCTTTAGGCAATTCTATGGTTTCTATTTGTATGAGCTCCTATGTATGATATATATATATATATGTGTGTGTGTGTAAAGAATATTTATATTAGCGGCAAGTAGGCTTCTAGGAGACTCAGTCAGAGAAGGAATAACCCCTTTCCTCGGTTACTCTTAGATTCATCATTGCAATCTGACCACACAACAAACTACTTTACTCCACTGAAGTGGCACTGTGCATTCTTGTCTCTCTAATTTTCTTTTTATTATTACAACATGATTGCAGCAATGGTGGTTCTTGTTAAGCATGGTTAATTATTGCTTAGCTTCGTCTCTCTACATTGGGGGAGTACGAAAGAGTCACTATTTCAAGATTTTATTTTAGAATCTGTTCTTAAAATTGGTATTTCTGAAATTTATGCCTCAATACTAGCTGCAATTAGTAGTTGATGGACTTCATTTTTGCAACTAATCTTAAAATTGTTGTAAAACACCTCTATTTCAAACCCTTGTTCATGCAATGGAACTCTTGCTCCACATTGCTGCCTGGGGCTGGCATTATTAGGCATTGATCTTTGTTATCGTGAGAAGACGAGTGGATCTCTATATGCATTGAAGAATGGGATTATGCATGTAGATAAGCTAATCCCTTTAATTATGATACTCTAATCCTATAACGATACCCTATTCTCTATAACTAAGGTTTAACATTAATTATACAAGATTATCATACCACTCTCCACCAAGTTGTATCTTTTTGTGAGCAAAGCCGCAGTCAACTTGAATATGCTTGGTTGTTCGTAGAAGACAAGATTAGATGCAATATGTTGCACTGCATGAATTGTCACAATATAACTTTGCTGGAATTGAAACTTTGTGTCTGCGACCACCTTCACTCACCGAATAATATATCACTTGATTCCTCGTGTAACATGTGCCATTGCCCTATATTCTGACTCTCTGCACTTGATCAAGAAACAGCACATTGCTTCATACTTTTCCATGAGAATAAGTTTCTCCAACAACAAAACACACACATGTAGTTCTTCCTTAGATCCTGCACAGTCAATATCAGCAAAACATTCTATTTTTCTATGCATGTGATTCCCATATAGTATACCATGCTCTGGACCCCCTTCTAAGTAACATAGAAAGCGTCCCAATGGTCAATTGTTGGGGATAACATATATTGACTTGCTGCACTTGCAAAATACACAATGTCTAGTTGAGTTATTGTTAAATAATCTAGCTTACGAGTTATGAACCAATCTGTATCTCTCCAAATCTTCAGAAGGTTCATCCTCCTTTTATCAATTGAAGATTTACAATCATGGGAGTGCTATATGGTTCAGCTCTCAATTATCCTGTTTCTGCCAACAAATCATGTACATACTTTTTCTGAGAAAGAATATTGTTTTCCTTTGGTATCTTAACACCCAATAAATACTTTAACATAGAAGGGCTTTGAGTTTTGCCTGAACTGGCCATGCAAGAAGCTTTTGGGGACGAGATTCCTACCGTTGTTGCCAGTAATGACAATATGATAGGTAACACTTTTCTCCTTGCCGTGATAAATTCACACTAAGATCCTTCTAAGTAGCACTGACATGCTTAGGTATTTGCTCCAATTGAGAATTTATTATTCTAGATCAAGTCTTTACATATATTTAGTGACAATTTATACTTCACTATGTTTACTCTTCACCTTCATGGCACTAAAAATGGCAAAAGATCATGCTTCTTAAATGGCAAAAATGGCATTAGGTTGATGCTTGTCCCTGGATCACATATAATTTTACATGCACCCATTTTGCCTAGTTGCATAAAAATCACGAAAATTGCATGAGGTTTCCAATCCCATGGGCAGTTAATTCCCTTTTTTTGGAGATTAAACTAGTTAGATAGACAGAGAGGCAATCTCAAAACAAAGAACGCTAGAGCCAAGTGATAAAATCCTCTTCATTCACAGCCCCGTTTTGCAACAAAATCAGCTCGGTAATTCTGAATAAGGAAGTTTTAGTTTCTTTCTAACTCATCTTTGCTGGCTGTGATATTTCCCATTTCAACTGTTGGGATCTTTGTTTGATGAACCTGTTAGGATTTCAATTACATGGTCCTATGGTGTATTTGTTAATCATTAATGATATTGTTATTATTAATATTATGGTAAGATTGAATTTTCTTGGAAGCTTGATACTATTTTTTGTACATTCAAATTTATTGTTTTCTGCCTTGACTATTAAATTGTGCGTTGCTTGATTCCATGTTTGATTGTATAATTCCTGTCATAGGTTCTCAAAGTTTATCATTACCCAATTACAATTTCTCTTGTTCAATTTGCTGTGGGGACTGTTCTAATAATTTTGATGTGGACCTTCAATCTTCACAAACGGCCAAAAATCAGTCGTTCACAGGTACTCTATGCCACCCCGGGATACTGTTCATATACAGTACACTTACTAACCTTAAATTTTATGTAAATGGTATCATTCAATCATTGGCAGCTTGTTGCAATTTTTCCACTAGCGGTGGTGCATACATTGGGCAATGTCTTCACCAACATGAGTCTTGGAAAAGTGTCTGTATCGTTCACTCACACAATTAAAGCTATGGAGCCTTTCTTTTCAGTTGTTCTCTCTGCTATGTTTCTTGGGGAGGTGATTCATTCATGCTTTCAAGCTTTATTTAGACTGTGAAACTTTTACTAGACGACTTATAAATGGAGCTTGAAGGAATTCATAACTTGTTTTAACTTCTGGCTTAGTCTTACTTGGGTAACTTTGTTCTTGAATGTTTCCTGCTTGTTTTTAATAAGATAGCAATTGTCATGCAAAAAGGCCTGATAATTCAGTTGGAGAAAGACTGCAATTATGGGCATGTATTTAACTGTGAAAGACTCCAATTATGGACACTAATTTTCTTGACATGTTCAGCTTGGTTTCTGAGCTCTTTTTTGTTTTTTTTACATCATGTGTTCGTTTCTTACATGCTTATTTCTCATTGTTTAATGGCATATATTCATTCCTTTTCCTTTTCCTGACAGTTCCCTACCATTTGGGTAGTTTCCTCTCTTCTACCTGTTGTGGGTGGAGTTGCTTTGGCTTCAATGACTGAGGCATCTTTTAATTGGTAAATTAAAATTTCTGTGGGTTCCCTTACTTTTCTAGAGATTTTTCTGCAGACAATTTATACCATGGTTATTTTTGAAGGGTCGGTTTTTGGAGTGCCATGGCATCCAACTTGACAAATCAATCTCGCAATGTCTTTAGCAAAAAGTTCATGGTTAAGAAAGAGGTACCTTTGAGATTTCTATTTGACAACCTCTGATAATTTCTTAAGTTCTGTTTAGCTATTTGTTTGTTAATATAATTTTACACTTTACCATGGAAAGAAACAAAATTTTGCTTTGTTTTCTTCTAGGTTTAATCGGTTATTAAACTTCAGTCTTACCTTCTCTTCACGCAGGAATCCCTCGACAATATTACTCTCTTCTCAATAATCACGATCATGTCTTTCTTTCTGATGATACCTCCGACTCTTGTCATGGAAGGCATCAAGTTTACACCTTCTTACCTTCAGGCGGCTGTGAGTGAATTTGCTATGCATTTAGTTTAATTGGCTCACCTACATCAGAATATTGCATTTATGTTCATATCTTTTCTTTGGCTAAATAATTTTAAAGACAATTTTTTTTACTATCATCAGGGGTTGGATGTCAATCAAATTTACATTAAGACACTCCTCGCCTCCCTCTGCTTCCATGCATATCAACAGGTAAACTTTTTAAAGTTGATATCTTCTCGGGCATTGCACTTTACATGCTTTCAGTTTGGTGTATATATATATTTCCCTGTTTTAATGATTGACAAAATAATCTTGCCCGTTGAATTTCAAAATTTTTGTTCATTCTGCATACAATCTCAAATGGTTGTACTTCGTAAACTCCGCCTACTATCAAGACATGTAGATTGACGGCTTCTTTAACTTCACAGTCATTTTCTGCTGATTTGGTTGGTCAAGCTTTGAATTTATATCGTACTATATGGATTCATTGAAAGCTTTCTACTTCATGGAAAATAATTTGAGTTGAGAACAACTCGAAGTTGCTGAAAGATTTTTTTTTTTCTATAACATTAGAATTTTGTTGCTGTAAAAACATATATGATCACTATTGCTTACTAGCAATGCCATTTAGAGAACGGACAATATCTAATTGAAGCTTATATGTTTGAATGCCATGAAAAGTTTACATGAATAATCAAAAGTCAAAACTATCATGATACAGTGCACTCAATGTAATCGAAACAAAAACATCATTAAGTTGCTAATGAAAAAGGTTCTACAAATTCTGCACCAATTTTTTAAGCTGACTAAATATTTTAGCATCCTGATTGTTAACGTGATCTAATGGACATTTTTATCATGCTGTATGAAAAGACTGATTAGAGTTGGTTCTACAGATTTCTTACATGATATTGCAACGGGTATCTCCCGTCACCCATTCTGTGGGCAACTGTGTTAAGCGGGTGGTCGTCATTGTGTCTTCTGTCCTCTTCTTCCGAACACCAGTTTCACCCATCAATGCTCTAGGTACGGACAATTTATGTGTTTTCAATCTTGTTTTTGTTGATCCATTTTAACGTAAAATATTTGTCTTTCTTACAAAAACATCACTTCCAACACTTTTATTAAAATGTTTTAAATCTGATATACACCCAAAAGATTGTGGGTGTGTTTGTTGGTAATTTGGATGTCTTACTTATTTTTGTTTGAGATTTTTTTTTCTTAAATTATAAAACATGTTTTTAGATGCGACGTTTAGAATAAAAAAATATACAACAGGTTTGTTTGGTTTTGGTTTTAGTTTGAGTTTCTTATTTGAATTTTGGTTAATTTTATGTGATTTTTTATAAGAGAAAATATTTTATTTTTATTGAAAACATTACGGACTGAATAGTGATGTTTTGGTTTCAAATGGTTTATCGGAAACAATTGTCTACTATTGTTTGGGGTTTGTATATATTTTTAGGTGAAAATGCGTTGGATGTGACATTTTAAATGAAAAATAGATATCGGGCTTTCGAGGAAAAATAAGAACTTGAATAGTAAAAAAAACATATACACACATACAAATAAACATAACCATAAACATTATCAGTATAGACTCTTAGGGCTCTCTTCTCCTCGTGCAGGTACCGGAATAGCTCTTGCCGGAGTTTTCCTGTACTCAAGAGTGAAGGGCATTAAATCGAAGCCAAAGACTGCTTGAACTTGGTAAGAAAGTATATGTGATACATATTAGACTACATTATTACAAAAGTTTTTATGCAGGAAATCAATTGTTAGGGTGTTCATTCTTTAAAGGATTCCTCTACTTGGTTTGTTTTCGTCATCATAATTGGAATTGTATGTATTACTGTCTTCAAGAATTGAGCCTCTAAGATGTGTGGTTTTGGTGATTTTGTTGTCATTCAATTTTTATATTTTTCTGTCCAATGGCCAGTATATTAGAATGCTTAAAGTTTCGAATATACTGGCCATTGGACAGAAAAATAATTATTAGAAATATTAAAAACTCAGAAAGAAATAAACTTGGTATCTGAATCATAAAAACTAGTAACTATAAAATGAATTTATCTGACCACGCAATCAAACTAGTGAAAGAGTATAAGTATTGAACCGTGCAAACAAAATTATCAAATCTATTAAACAACCAACAAATATACTAAATTCCGAACATCCCAAAATATATATATATATATATATGTACACACATGAACAAAATTATTTTTCTCTCAAAACTTCACATAGATGTATATATACACACAAAAACATTTTTCTCAACATTACACTCACAATAATTTTTCTCTCAAAACATTACACACATATATATATATACACACACTCACACAATGATTTTTCTCTCAACATCACACACATATATATATACACCCTCACACAAAACGATTTTTCTCTCAAAACATTACACACACATATATATATATATATATATATATACACACTCACACAATGATTTTTCTCTCAAAACATCACACACACACACATGTGTATGTATATATATATATATATAAGTACATTCAATCAGCCATAAGCACACTAAGAACCCATTCAACTCATGCCATAGCCAATGTCCCAATGCCTTCCATTTCAAACACACAAAAACAAACTCTCAAAAACATCCCAAAACAACAAGCAACATTAAACTTACTCATCATAAAACAAAACCAAAATGTCTTTCAATTCAAACACATAATTAAAAGCAAGCAAACAAACAAACACACTTGTCTTTAACATCACAATAAACTTGCAATAACATAAAACAACCACTCATAAGAGAGAAAAGGTAAATAAACCGATTAAGTTCGACAAACCAAGAACACCGTCACTTCTTCCCAATCATACCCGCAACAAGAAAGTCTTCAACCCCAGAAAGAACCAAGCCCAGCATTATCGAATCGAGGCTGCATTTGTGGCAGAGGAAAAGGAACCTCGTTTGCAACACTCAGCCCGTTGATACCTTCCAAAGGAGCAGCAACAGGAGGATGCTCGACCACACTACCGAGAAGACCATTCAAGTTGTTGACCTGAGAGTAATCAAAGTTCAGCCCCGGGAGCTGACCAACCCCAAACTGCAGCGCAGAATCATCGCAAACTGGCCTGAAATCGACTTCCGGCTTCCCAGCATTCAGAATCTCCAGAGCAGCATTCACAAGGCTTGATTGATCAATGAAATTGTCGCGGTTGTTGGCGCTGTTATCGTTGTTGTTGATGACAGTATTGTTGTTGCTGCTATTAGTGGTTAACAGTTTGCTTCCATTGTTGGCGTCGAATCTCCTGATATAGTCGAGCAAAATAGAATTAGAGGTTGGATACCTAGTCCGCTTTTTATCTGCAAATTTTCTCCTCTTTGTTGCATTCCAGTGATTCTTAATGGAATTTTCAGTCCTCCCGGGAAGTCTTTTCGCAATTTCTGCCCATTTGTTCCCAAGTTCTGCATGAGCCGCGATTATTATTTTATCTTCTTCTTCAGTCCATAGATCTCTCTGGATGAAATCAAACCATAGATCATTAATTCAGAGGATTTGAAGAGTACCATAAAGTGAAACTGTTAAAAATTAAAATTGACTTTGGGAATCACGAATGGGATAAAGCAAACAACAATCTACCTGCAGTGTGGATAATATCAGTCTGCATAAATTCAACCTAAATGACATAATTGATGTTATCCGCAAACCGGTAAAGAAGAAGAGGTGGTTTAATAATAAATGAAAAGGTTTGCCGATCCTATCCCAAATTCAAGATTTTCAAATGCTGCAATTAAAACAATAATAGCAATGAAGACGAGTTTTTTCAGTCCATATTTTCCCTGATGAACATTTTTTCCTATTTGACAATGGAACCATGTAATTTTGGGACTAGTATAAAATTATATATGCAACAAACAAAATCACAGTAACAAGTAAAACCAAGAAACACAATTATGCGCATACGAAGGGTAAAAAAAATATCAAACTTTTATATCCGGGCGCAGGTGATTCTTCCATCTCTCTCGGCACTGTTTTCCAGTCCTCCCCTTCATAATTTGTGCGACCATCGTCCACCTCTTCAAACCATATATGTCCACCAGATGAATCAAAAGTCTAAACATCAAGCAACAAATCACAAATCATTCAAACATTAATGTGAATAAACAAAATATAAATCAGTACACAAAAATTAAAAAAAAGAAAAGAAAAACATTAAATAAGATAATAATAAAGCAGAGGCAGTCATCTGTATTCAATTCACACCTGTCCTCATCGAAGGTCCACATTCCTTTGACAGATTTGGGCTTAATTGAGCCTTCAGATGGTACTTGAGACATAAATACCCCATCACCTTCGTTAACAAAACTTCTACTTATTTCTGTGCCATGGCCCCTTATAAGGCCGAAACCATCAGCGGTCGCAAAAGAACTATTGCCGGTGTTAACAAATCCAGAAGGCATAAAAGTATTGTAATTCGATGCCATCTGAATTCTATTCAATGAATCATTCCAATTTGGAAAAATCGAGGATCCATCACCTTGGAGACGTTGCATGTCCACACCATTGACTAGAATTCCCTTGCCTCGCAAGGTCTGCTGCATGACTGTGCTAGTTATTCCATTTTGGTCATTGAGATCAAAAGGAATAGATGGTCCACCGATAGAAGGATTAAAAGCCAGATTACCAAGATCAGAGAAATCTTGGTTAAGAGATGAGCTATTGCTGGTGTAAAAACCATCGTTTGGTGCTCGATATGCATGGTTGTTGAAGGCTGAGGATGCTGGTAGGGAAAAGGAAGTATTATAAAGTTTCCACTGTGTTGAAGGCTCCATTAGAGAACTCGAGAGAAAATGATGGCTCAGAAAGGAATGCTGCATTCTCTGTCTCAGCCTCAGTAAAGTTCATATTTATTAAGAAATTTTTAGCGCATTAAATGCATTGGAAAATCATCGTGACCGTCAATTTGTCATGGCGATTAAACGGTTGGATTCATGGGCTGGGATAAGATTAGGTAGAGGACTAGAGAAAGAAAAGAAAAAAGAAAAAGTTTTGTTGCCAAAATAAATAGTTTTTAATTATTATTCTTACCATAATGTTATTCATTCGCTTTGAAATGCATGTAATTGAGTACCGCGTATTATCACAATAAGTAATTTATTTTCTACTTTTGAAAATATCGCAAAATTGAGCTACTAAACTACAAATCGGAAATAGAGTGTATATGTCATTTTGGTTTTGATTTTTTAAAATTTTTTTTCTTATGTATCTTTTACTTTTATTAATTTATTTTCTCGGGTCACCTGTGAGAGCCTTTGCGATCACAAATAATCACCCTCCAAAAGGCATGATGAAAACAATCATTTTAGACATAAAAATGAATGGAAACAAAATTTATGTGGGATTATTTGTGATTAGATAAGGTTTAAATGAACACATGCTTTGTATAGATGTTGTTTGCATCCCTTTTCAAAGCATCTAATCTACCAAAGTTCTAAGCATAATTTCTCAAAAGAGATAATACACATAAGTATACTATAAATATGTCAATTTAATAAATTAAAGATGTGTTCAATCTTTATCCCCTAAATTTAGTTTCTATACACACATAATCATGTACCCTAATCTATCACTTTCATTTCCAGTCACATAATTCAATCATTGTATAATATTTGATACATTAAATATGTTAATCAAATACTTCTCACTATTCAATAAGAATACACCATTCACACCAACACATCTCAAGTAGATGACATGTGTGAGTTGTGTTGTATCTTAATAAACTATACTCCCTCTTGTCTTATATAATGTATTCATTTAAATTTTACTTGTAGATTAAACAATATTAATAGTTTAAGTAGGGTGTGATAAAGTGTATGGACAAAAATGTCCTTACAAGTACAAAGGCCTACACTTATATATTAAAATAAAAAGGGACATCGTAGTAAATTTGCATGAAAAGTTTGGATATTTTTTTGTTTGCGTAGGGTCCACATTTACTAAAATTTGTACCAAAAATAAATGAACCTATTTTCTATGACGGAATGAGTATATTGGTATAGCACGGATAGAGTACCAAAAATAACACAAACGTTTTTCCAAAAAAATTAATATATTACACACATTCATTATTTTTATATTATCTGTACAATTTTCTATACCTTACATAAAAAATATCTCTTCAAACTATTTTACAAAATAAACACACCCTATATTACAATGTTATATAACAATAATAGTGTTATATTACATATTACAATATTATTTATTATTGTAATAATCATATAGTAATAATATAATATTATTGTTATTATTCATTTTCTTACATATTATTATATTTTTATAATTATTACTTTTATTACCGTAATAAATATTATTAAAATCAATTATAATATTATTTTCAACTTTTGGTAATTACAAGAATTATATTGCAAAAAGAAATCAAAATTGCATATAATGTGTACAAGGTACATGTAATGGAAGATTACGGTGATAGTTTGGTGTGTGTGTGTTTTTGTGTGTTTGGGTTTGAATTTTTAGTATTTTTTAAGTGAAATAGTTATTGAATGTAATATTTTGTATAAAAAAATGGGTTTTAGTGATGTTTTTGGATGAACATTGTGAGATTGCATTGTAAAAATTGAACAAAAGAGAAAAACCCTTAAGTGGGGTCTCAAATTTAATAAAGCTCAATTGTAATACAAAGCTTAAAATCACAATTTCCCCTTGCGTGTTTTTATACATTGAACACGTTAATTACATCATTGTTAATTTATTTATTTTTTTAATACATAAAATTTGTAAATTTTTTTCTATATTTTTTAAATCAAGTGGGTCTTGTGACCCTACTCCCATATACATTCGCCCCATTACAACAAAAAAGTAAAATTAGAATACATTCAAATAACTAGAACCAACATTAGTGAACATTTAATCATTTTGAGTTAAATATCAAGGCATTGGATCTTGGTGTGGTTTGAAATTTAACCTAAATATGATGCATTACCTAAGTGGAAAGTTGATTAGAGAATCTAGATCACCAAAAGAGCATCTAGTACATTTAAGGGAGCAAGAAAATCTTAAGATGTGAGATAGACTAAGCACATCTTAACAGTGGTATAATCGGAATCAAAAAAAGAAATTAAACACTCTTTGGTTTAAGCATTATCTAGATTTGAAAAGGACTCAACCCGGTCTCACCAATTTTCTAACTTAACAATATTGCATACTTGCAAGGTGTTGTCTCAACTTTCTGGCTTGGAAAAGGCAGCGTGCTACGATTTCATACGGATAAGTTTGGATTAATCCTTGTAGTTGAGTGTATTGTTTCCTTAGTTGTTAATTGTTTCTTTCATATCAAAAAATTTGATTCAGTATTTTCATTGCATGAGATGACGCCGCATTACAAAAGAGGATGACAAAGAGGGATGGTGGCTATCTGGACTACATAGAGAAGTTGATAGCCTTAAGCCCATAACTTGACCATCATTTTTCAGTATATTTTCACCCTCTATTGTAACATTTTTTGCAGTCAATTTAATCACATGTAAAACTTAATTGTGAATTCTTCCCTTTGGTCAACAATATGTAGCATAAAATAGCTTTCACCCATTTTCCACAAAGTCACCCCTAAGCTAGCTCAATCTTAAACCTTTGTTCGACAGTGTGCTAAACCTCAATTCCAAAGTTCAACTAGGAGTTCGCTTGTAGTGAGTGTCTACTAGTCAATCAGACATCAGAACAAATATTTCATACTGATTAAGAGAATTGGTTAGATTCCACATTTATTCTGTTGGCATCTTTGCCAGAGAATTGAGCTTCTCATTTGGTGCCCACTACATTTCACTTGTGGTTTTGAATCTAGGTTTTATTCTTATTTTTAATATTTTGTGGGGGTGGAGAGCAAGGAGATTTGCCTAAGATTTAGTTACAAAGATTTAGGAAGCACAAATCCAACATCTCTACCATAGCTAGACGATAAGAAACAATCTAGTCAGATTGATTTAGTTCCATAGGTTGGAATATTCAAAATAAAGAGCCTTAAAACTATGCCAAAAAGTCTTCCATGTTTGCAGCTCCGCGCTTAGCAGCTTTTCTTCTTAGTTAATTTTTTGTTACTTTTTGTGTTGTCCTACACACAGGAACACTAGTGGACAATCTTCTGCAATCCTAGATCAATCAATTTGGACTTGTGACAAACAGTTGGAGTATTTCCTCACATAGATACATTTTATACAATGAGTTCTGCCCTACTTGCTGATGTACAAACCATTATTCATTTTTACGGCATTTTGAAAATATGTATAGTTGCATCTTAAATCAAAACATACACTTGAAACATAATCGGTTGCAGTTAGCTGAAACCCTATATATAAATCCCTTTCGAAAGAACCTCGTGCTTGGCAGACCTTTCATGTTTACACTTCGCAGTTGGTTTGCAAGAAGAAACCTTTCATGTTAAATAACACCTAATGCTTGGCTGACCTGGGAACTTAGCCTCATGAATGGCCAAATGAAAAGATTTTCAAAGAAATTCCATTCATGGAAACACAAGATAAATTTTTGGAGAGGTTAACTACTGGACTAAATGGAATAACCATTAGAAAACAAGTGCAACCATTGTCAAAGACTTGATCATCAGAGTTAGAATTGGATAGATTCTAATTGTGAGTGTATAAGTAGTAGTTCAATGAATTGTACGATTTAGGACCTTTCCAAACTTAAACATTACATAATTGTTTTTATCGTTATTTAATTAGGAATAAATCCTCATCTTTTATTGTAATTTTCAATAGTTGGTTTGATTTGTTGCAATAATTGTTTTAATTAATAAAAATACTATTAAAATGTAAATAGTACTCAATTTTCAAAAGAACCTAAATGTGGATTTATTTCTTAGTTTCACCTTTTATATGCAAGTATGTTGCTTAAAGGGAACAATAAGTATAGGAGTTAGAAATAGAAATGAAAATGAATCATAATGAATATCTTAGATAATTCTTGATATAACTAAGGGGAATAAACAGTGTAGTTGATATCCCGAAACCAGGTAATGGTTCATTAACTAATGTCTCCTTTAACTAGTGATGTCTTAAAGTTTAGCAATCACCATTTAGCTCTTTCACCAAAAATTTGGGTATGTTTGTTTGGAGTTTTTATTTTGGGTTTTGATTTGAATAATAAAATTTTGAATTTGAATAGTTGCTTGATAATTCATAAATAGGAATTGGTGTTATATTTTGAATGTATAATTAATTTTTAATGTAATATAAATATATATAGGTATTTAATTTGATATTTTTGTAAAAAAATTTTTTTAATAGTATAAATAAAAACAAATCATCCAAACAAACATACCTAAAATAAAAGCTTGTGGCTATCAAACTATCTCATCGAATGTAATTCTAATATTAATTATTATTAATAATATTTGTATAAAGAATAAACTAGTTTATTGTACAAAAAAACAAAAAAATAATAATAATAGTAAGCCCCAATAACCTCAAGGATACCTATTATAGGATTTAAACCAAGTATTATGAATGCAATGATAATTTCCATAGTGAGCGTAGTGTAGTGTTAATCAATTTCATTATGATTCCAACCAAAAATTTGTACCATGTGATTTCTAAGACATAAATTAATCAAATTAACAATCAAGAAGAATTACATCTAAATTTACATTAGCTGACAATACACGGAGATGTTCAAATCAATACATAAAGCACTAAATAAAATTGAAAAAATAGTATAAGAAGGCTATATATTGAACAAATAATTTAATTCATGAGATGTGACAAAGTAATCCCTCACTCAAATAATCATTTAAAGAATAATCACAAGTATTTGTGCAAAAAGAAACCGCACACATACAAACAATAAAAACGAAGGAAGAACAGATGATGAAAAAAAACAAATTGAAGGGTTGAAAATCTTCCTAAGTTAAATAAAAATAATTACTAGGCTTTATATGCCTAATTGGGAATCTCCGACTTGTTAAATTCTATTATGATCCATGTAGAGTTCAAGATTCATTTCTAAAGCTTTGTTGTTCCTCCATTACTATCTTTTCTGAATTCGCAATATTAAACAATTAGATGAATTGGATGTAGTGAGACCATATCTCTGATACTTGAAGGAATTTCCTCTAAATCATGCAAATTTCAAGTACATGCCTCTAAAGTTTGGGTAATGAGCATTTACGGACATCCTAGAAACTATTTAACTCTCCTTAACATACAAGACTTTCAATCTAAAATATTCTCCTTTGACTAGATTTCGCCCGCCCTTTGAAATCATTATATGCCTAAATAAGCACTTCAAAGCTTAGCCATGAACCTACAATCCTTAACGTCTTTCCAAGGAATCTCATATCCATCCGAATTCAACTTCCTTGTTGCTACAGATATCCTATGTTCTTTAATAAATGATTGTCCCTTTTTGAGGCAAGTGTTGTTTAATCTTTACTTATGTGTGCAAGATTGATGGAAATAATCAATTTCCAGTTTCTGCATATTTAAAATTCATTCGAGGACCTTTCATGTGCAGCTAGAGTTTATTATCTTGAACTTATTTTAACTTTGTATTAATAATAACACAAAATTTCTTATCCACCTGATTGACTACTGTGTCGGGCAAAACAAAGTCTATATCAATTATAACAAGCATACGCCTAAGCTTTGACATCTCCCAAATGGAAAGAACTATCATATCCTAACATGCCAATATCTGGAAAAAAAAAAAAAAAAAAGAACATGTCCTGCAAATAAATCAATAAGCAATGCCTGAAGATTACGTAGTAAAGACAATGCAGATGGCACAAAAGTTCAAAAATTTATTCAAATCTTCTGAACAAGCCGAGATAGAAAGGTACCTCAAATGAGTGAGCCACATAAATTTGTCAACTGGATGGCTGTAAAAATTGTCCATTGCCTTCACCAATTTTAATCCTTCCATCTTCAATGGACGAGTGAGACTTCAGGCACATAAACAAAATGTTCTTTGCAGGATTGTTCAAGCACACATCCCTACAAGGTCATCGATGATGCATTCTTTGACCTTTTCCCTACATTTACATATACAAAACAAATGGGGATTTCAATCACAAAGATAAGATAAGATAAGATCTTTGAGCAACGGTCACTGCCTCTTGAATTTGGAAATGACCTCACATTTTCTGTATCTTCGACTTCTTTTCATTTTTAAGCGCAATTTTCACAGAGGCGGTGAACTCGAACACAAAACCTTGCATTCTAGTACCATGTTAAATGTTCATTTCACCTAAAAACTTAAACTTATAGAGAAATGCATCATCAGTTACATACTATATAGTTTTCCAACAACCCTCATCTTGTGCGAGTTCCTTCATAATTCTAACCAAGCGAAGCGTTCTATAGATCTCACCATTTCAGTTTCGCCATGCAAAGTACTATCGATGCACTTACAGGGGCAGAGACCGGAACAATGTGATGCTGCTTTAAGGCAGCGCATTGCCCTTTAAGCACCAACAACCCATACTTGATGGAATCAATCTTACTCATATCAACATCTTGACGAAAACTGTACATGGCAGATCATGAATTAGAAACTACATCCAATTTCCTAAACAAATTTGAACTTCCCATTACTGAAAGGGACTGCTCAATATTCGAGGAAAAAAAAAAAAGAGCTTATACTTATAAATAAACAATCGATAAAAAAATAATACAAAGGAGAAATAGAAGAACAAATCAGTATCGATTTTACCTAGGCATCCTCAACAAAGCTGAACCACTGCATGTAAGTCAATGACATCATCCTCAGTTTCATCAGCAACAACAATAAAATTCCTGCACGAAGCGTTGTGTTATTTTTATTATTCATAATTCCCCCCCACCCTCCCTCCGAAAAACAACTCAATCACTCATTTTTTATTGTTTCTTTAACATTACACTAAAAAATAATTTTACATTCAATACATTACCATAAATACTTATTTTTATCACATTTAAACAATTATTTCAATTCAAATTTTTACTATTCAAAACCAAAATCCAAACATCAAACCTTCCTCAACATAAAGGACAAATATTCATGAGAATCTTGCAAGAATTCTGAGGTTCTGTTTGTTTGGTTTTCTCTTACTTTTTTTTACTATTTATTGAAATTATTTCTCCTACATAAACATCAAACCAAACACATAAGTTTTTATTTTTATATATTACATTAAAAATCAATTTTCCGCCACTATATTTATATCATGATATGCAACAAAAAAGGATAGAACTTTTACTTGCAAATGTAAACACTTAGACAAGAATCTTGATTACCATTGTGGAACCTGGTTTGTCTTTTACTCTCTGTTCTTCACTAGCCACGGTGTCTGAAGACTGAGTCACAAGTGGCACACACGACTTGGCCATAGTAATTGCTGATTCGGTGCAGAATTTGTATTGGGACATTTCAACGAACACTTGGTGGGTGTGAGATTACAGCATAGACCAAAACAAAAACTAATACTAGCAAAAATCAGCACAGAAAAGAAAATTGAGCGTTTGTATTCGAACAGTACATAATCAAACCGCCATTGATCTTTGATCTCTCGGACATTGTGATCGATCAGCGTGCAACAGATGCCACAGGGTTTTTTCTTTGAAGATTTTTTTTTTTTAATAAATTCGGGCCTAGAAACTCAGGTTCAGGTACAGCCCGTTTCAAATCGGGTTGGGCCGGCAAATCCTATTCTTAAAAATTTTTAATTTTAAATATATTTTGCATAATTTTTTTCGCTAAAAAATAAATTAGAGTATTAAGCTTAACAAATATAACTATAAACAATTAAAAGTTCTTTTCCTTTCAATTCAAATAGCCATTTTTATCATTTTGATTTTTCTCATCGTTTTTATATGTTTCATTTGTATCCCTTTTTTATTATTCTTAATTTTTGTTAAATTACAATTATATAATTATACATACAATTATTTATAAATAAAAATTATACGATAAATCGTCGGACCAAGGATGCTCAAATTTACAACCGTCTTTGTAAATCGACGTTCCAAATCTTTCAATATTTGTCCGATATCTTCCATACAAAATGAGATAGGCTAATTCAAGAGGAGAAGAGAAAGAAATGAAAGCCCTTGCCAATGCCTATATTTTGAATATTTGCATTCCACACAATGATGGAGCCCACCAAATATCCACTTGTCATAATCTAACCATACTACATATTGGGCCTTAGGCCCAAGTTAAGGCCCAAATTATATAATAGAGATAATGAGCTTTGAGTTCACTATACTTTCTAATATTTTAAGTTTAATAAATAATGCAAATCATGTCAAAGTACATCTTATTCTATACAAAAATTGATACTTTTTTAAAAAAAAAAAAAAAAGAAAATAATAATAAATAAAAGATAATTTTGCATGATAAAAAGAAATTATCTCACCCTCAGATTCTCTTTTTTCTTTTTATATTTATATAAAAATATATCATAGTACAACTCATGAAAAAGTAAGTATTACAGAATTTAGGTCAACTTTTATTTAATAAATAAATTAACATCATATAATTAGAGAGTATACTTTTTTTAAAAGTAATAATAATTTCAAGTATTTTTTATTGTGAGATATGAGGAACCGTAAAAATATTATAGATAATAATATTTTGTGAATTTTTGTTGATTATCATTATTATTATTTTAATATATTATAAATTGTACTTTTAATTAATATTTTCTTTAGAAATATGGTGAAAATTGAGTTTGTTCATTTAATTTTTTTTAATACAATTTCGGATAATATTATTAAAAATACACAATATATAATACTCCTTCCGTCCCATAACAAGGTATCCATTTTTTCATTTTAGTCCGTCTCATAACAAAGTATCTATTTCCTAACATTACAAATACCCTTACAACTTCCAATATATTACACAAATGTCATTACCTTTATATCACACATACTAATAAGGTTATTTTAGTCATTTATACTTTATTCCTACTATAGCTTAATATAATACTAATATTTATAAAACTACGTGCAAAAAGCAAATAGATATTTACTTATGGGACGGAGAGAGTATATTTTTATCTAACTTACAAAAACATCAATAATTGTAGGTAATTGAGTTAGTATGGTATGACCTTGTGAAAGTTTTTATAATTTCGAATCTTATCAACGTCGTATCCGTTAAATCTATCAAATAACACAAAGAGATTGTCGATAATAAATCCGAAAATTTAGTCAGTACACATCAAAATAAAATAAAATAAAAATAGCAACTATATGAAAAATAAATAATTAAATAAAATGTTATGAGTGAAGTCATTGTCACATTGTTATGAAAAGATGAGTTAGGAAAAAGGGTTACATAGTGGTTGGGACATCAGCAATGTTCATTGAGACAGCCTTAAAAAAGTACATCAATGCTATTGCTATTCTATACATACATTCCACTACTTTATGTGCCCTAATTTTTTTATATTTAAAAAAAAAAAAATGTACTATTTATTAATAATTATAATTTGTTAGTAAAATATTATATCAAATAATTTTTATTTTTATTTTTATATAAAATATTACATCATATATCAAATTATACACTACTATCTCTATCCGACTATAAGAGCCGCATTTATTTTTTGCGTGTTGATATTTGAATATTAGTTATTATATCAAACTGTAGTACAAATTAAGAAAAAATGACAAAAATACTTCTATTAGTGTTCTATAATACTAATATAATGACATTTGTATAAATATAAAAATATTTTTAATATCAAATACAATAACGCAAAATGTAAATGTAATTTTTAGAGACGAATTTAGTTATTATGTAATATATACACTATTTGATTACAAAACTAAAATATAAGTTAAATATTTTTAAAATTATATTTAAATAAAATATATTCAATGTAGATGTTATTTTATGAATATATTTAACATATGTGTTGTTACATATAAAAATTACTTCGATATTATTTATCTGTTAGTATCAATAAAAAAAATTTTATATCAAAATTATTTTCTTTCCTACATATAATATTCAATAACTAATTTTTTTATTATTATATGAAAATTTCAAATTTTTTTATTTGTTTTATTTTATTTTTGTACAAGCAACTATAATAGGTGTGTTCCCAAACAAAAATATTTAAACTAAAAATACTAAAAAGATACAGTAGACAATTTTTTTAATATATATATATAATATATAATTTTCCTACAAAATACCGTATTAAAAAACAATTTATATCATTATTTTTATTTTTATGTTTGCACAATGTAATTTATAGTAATACATATATATATACATATTTTAAATATCCTTTACTATTTTTTTATACAAAATATTATATTCATATTAATTATATCATACAAAAAACAACTAATCTCTCTGTTTTCATAATATTATTTTTTAATTGTACTTTTTTATAAATAATAATAAAAAATACAAAATATTTTATATTAAAATAAAAAAAATTCAAATATTTATTATAAAAAAAGTCACAAAAATCACTAAAAAAATCAAAAATTAAATATTCAATCTAAATAATATATTTTATATATTTAAAAAAATTCCCGGTACTACATAAAAATATAATAATAATAAAATACAAAATCATTTAATGTAAAATTGGGTAAACAGAATATTCAAAAATACATTTGATTGGTTTCATATTTAAATATTTCATTTATAATTGTCTGTTGATTTACAAATAATTCACAATTTTATTTGCATTACATTTATTTTAATAAATAATAATTAATTTATTATTATTTTAATCATTTATAATTTTTCTTTTTTTAAAAAAAAAAAGAGAAATAGTTAAATATATATATATATATATATATGACTAAGAAACAACAATATCAACAAATTGGAGCTTTAATCTTCTGCCCACAAGAGTCATATGTTTTTAATTAATAGCACAAGGACGAAGAATTAAAAAACTAATACAACATGACAATATTCGACGAATTGAAGAAATTATGCATAAGAAATACGACCTCTCGATCACCACATCAATACAACATTCGAACCAACAAACCATCAGATAACACGAACACGAACTCGAACAATAAATTTATGATCGATCACCGATCAATCAAGACGACGATGAATCGTGGCTAGTTTTGCTCAGCATCGACGGCCGCGGGCTCGGGGTTTGCGTTATTTCGAGCCCTTTATTCCCGCCGACCCGGGGGCTCACTTCGCTCCGTATCTCGTGCAGTCGGGGGCTCCGCCCCGTCTGAGACACCCGGGGGCTGTAGACCGATTTCATCTGCTCGTGCGGCGATTGCGTCGAGCTCGTCACTTTCGGGCTTCGCGCATGTCGAATTTCGCCCCGGCCTCTTGTGATGATCTCGTCCAAGACCTCGCCGCTGTCGAGACTCGCGGGGCGCGGCGACGGATTGTTCCCTTGATCCTGAAAATCGACACCCGGAAAAAAATAAATTAGTACCCGTCGAACGTTCGATCGATATCCCACTCCGAATTTGATTTGTATTCGAGCTTGAGCTTAAAAACTTATTGAAACAACTAGACTGGTTATCATGCTGATTGAGGCAAATTAGCACTAGGTGTTTCAAATAACATAAACTATTTATTTTTCTATTTTGTCCGTTCCATAAAAAAATATCTATTTCTTTTTTAGTAACTGTAGTGTCTACCTAACATTACAAATACAGTATATTACATAAATCTTATTATTTTTATATTACATAATACTAATAAGGTTATTTTAGTAATTTTCACTTTATTTTTACTATGTATCAATATAATACTAATATACCTTAAACTCCGTAAAAAAAACAAACAGATATCTAGTTAAAGGACGGAGGGAGTATTTGAAAATATGTATTATATGTTCATATTTATATGGTATCGTGAGATCAATTGTAATATGTATTGTGTAGACTATTATCATGTGTTGTTAGTTCACGTGTTATATTTGTATTATATTAACGTAAATTCCGCGCTATCTACCATCATATCATGTGATATGCTATCGACACTGTTAAATTATATAATTCAGCACAGTGACTATAGCCTGAAACAATTCGATACGAATCGAGCGAGGTTACGCTCGATAAGAAGCTCGAAATCGAGATTTTCGACTCAAAATAAAAGCTTTACGCGATATCGACAAGCGGAGGAAAAAATTACGAAGCTTACGTCGAACGTTATGTTGTAGCGTATTGCGGGAGCCTCTTCATACTCCGCGGCGTCCAAGTCGGTGAGATGCGCGCCTTTGAAGAATCGGGGGAGAAGATACTGCCGAACCGGGACGAGCAACATAATCAACAACGGGAAAAGCACGCCGGCGATCGGAATCCACGTGATCCCGAAGCATAGCAGCAAGTAAAACGTTTGGAACAATGTGAACATCGCGATCGTCTTGAACGGCACCGTCTCGACAAACGTCGCGTGGTACTCCTCCAACACCCTGCAATTAGGCGTCGTCAACGAAATCCCGATTTTAATTAGCCGAGCGAATATCTATAGAACATATCGATTTCTTTCGCTTACATATATCGTCGACTCGGCGCCGTAAAGAGCAGCAGGATCCGCTCCCAGAACTGATTTCCGGGCAAGCTTTCGATCGCCATGAAAGCGAAGTATCCCCAGAGAACCGACGTCGGAATTTTCTTCAAAAGAGGCATCGCGGCGACACAAGTTCCGACCATCAATGCCTGAAGAAGATTGCTGAGGCGTTGCTCTTTGACTTCGACGGGGAGAAGTTCGTCGACGTCTTTTTCGACGTCGAAAACTGTGGTGTCGACGGGAGCATCCATGCAGCCGCTGCTGGAGGCGCGCTGGACCGTCGAATCTTTCAGCTCCTTCAGTCCCTGTCGTAAGCGAATACGCGAATGAACAAAAAAGACGAAAACAAATTAATTACGATTCGAGCAAATTGATCATGATTCCGAGCATACCGGCGCAGGCGGGTTTTGATAAATTAGCGGGCTTTGCATTTCGACGTACGCCTCTTGCATGTTGCTGTACAGTTGCGATAAATTCGCGTTCTTTCGAATGCTTTCCCGAGCAGTCGAAACAAGCTTATTCCGCAAGAGCTGTTCCATAGAAAGACATGAATTCGACGTCGTTGAACACGTACGTAACGAAATTTTACTCGAAAGTTACCTGATGCTTTAGCGTCGCCAAACTTTTGGTGTGCATCGGCGACTGGGGGATGACGCCGTTCGCGGGAGGAATGCCGATGAGACCACAGAGAATGACCTGATCGATACACAAAATGACGACGCTAAGATAACGGCTGAGACGATAAATTTCAGAAACGAATCGAAGCGATCGATACCATAAATCCCAACAGAAGAAGATCGTAGTGGTACGACGACGGTTTCTTGAGATTGAACTCCTTTTGCTGCGCAAGCTGCGACGCGACGCTATGATCGAAGTAGTAAAGCACGGCGATCATCGTCGCGGGAATGAACGCGCCGATGATATAAAGCGGAGGCACGTCCAACATATCCTGTCGAAGAGAATCGAACAAAATGCAATTAGAATCGAAATTAGATTTTCAAAATCAGCGTCGAACGCGTCGAGGCACCTTGATGACGGTCCAGTTCGAGTACGCGCCGGCAGACCACGGATTTGGGCTAAAGAGTCGTCGCGGGATGCCATGCGGAACGTCGTTAACCGGGATGTACGACACGGCCGTCCACACGAGCACCATCAACGGGACACCGTAGTCAGCGATGAATCCTCGGAGCCATCCTTCAGAATTTTCGAATAATATTCAAGTTCGCGAATAATATTTTCGAATCCTAATAAAAAAAAATACGTCGACGAAAATCGAACCTGCTCCGTATCGCCAAGATCGCGCCTTTCGACTCCGTAACGCAGTGAGGAGTAGTCCGAACGACAGTACCAATGCAAACATGCCGTTTCCGAATCGCCAGGAAGGTAAAAATTCGGTCTTCCGGCTATCTTCTCTCTTCGGAATGCCGAACTCCTCGACGACTCCCTGAAAAAGAATCGACAAAAAATTAGACCCGCAATCGAATCGACCGATAAATCGAGGCGACGAAGCGAAACTCATACTCACACGAATCGCTTGCTGCATAAACAGCATGGCGATCAAAAGCCCGAACAGTTCGCCGGCGAGGCGCGTGAATCGGTTGATGATCGAGCACGCACCCAAAATCGCGAGCAAGAAAAGCAACGCTGACGTCCATACACACACCCTGCATCGAAAAAAAAAAATCGAATCAAGCGAATCGATTTATTTTAGATTTTTCGATGATCGCAGTTAACTGCTGGATTTATACCATCCCGACCAGGCGACGAACAGATTCTCCCCCAAATCTTTACGGTCTTTTGCGAAATTGAACATGAACGTGTACATCAAAACAGTCGGCTCGGCTACTCCAAGTATCAGCAACGGCTGTCCGCCGACCACTGCATGAATCACGCCGCAGAGAGCTGTCGATGCAAGCGTCTGCACTGCAGTTAAAGCTCCATCTGTCGAATACGACACGGAAAAACTTATTTTACGACAAAACGATAAAAAACACTTCAAGAACATCAAAAAGAAAAGACTTTTTTCGACAATACTAGTGTTTCTCTCCAGCTGCTCCCCGAAAGATATAACCGGAATCGCCGATGCAAAGAATATATAAGTCGTCGGCGCCAAGATCCTACGAAAATTACACACAATACATACATAGATCATTCCAATCGAATCTACCGCGTCGAATCTTATTACACAGTAACACAAAAATCGACACGAACCTGATACCTGCACGCAATCCGCCGCTCCAGTCCTGTTTATAGCACTGCAGCCTACCTTTAAGATCGTTCTTAATCCCACGAAGCGGGACGAAAGTTTCCTCCATGACAACACCAAAACAATCCAACAATTCGACGGACAAAACCACGAATCAAACGAACAAAACAGCGACAATTCCACACGAATGATTTGAATGAGGCCTACAAACTTAACCAACACTAGATTTTCATGACCAAAAGGGCAGAAAAACAACACCTATTAGATCATTAACCTCAAATTTTAAAATCTTCGATTCGAAACCTTTTAACAGGTCCCCTCAAGACAAAATTTCTCTACAGCTTCACATTCTACCCGATTTTCGGAAAGAATAGCTTTCAGCTTCTAACTACAAAGAACCAAAGAATTCGATATCTATCTATATATATAGAGAGAGAGAGAGAGAGAGGTAGTTATATATATATCTGTATAGGTATAGGTATGTATGTATATGTGTATATAAGCTATGAATCAAGTCAGACAGATCAAAACAGGTATGATTCTAACGAAATGCATCCATTAATGGTGATCAAGAATCTCCAATCCAATCAACGAAATGAACAAACACTATCCATCTTAATCATCTAACGCCTGACTACAACAAAGCTGAGATCCATCAATTCGTCGAACACCTTGCCTACATCTAAGCAACAACACTGCTACTCCTCACCTAATTTTCCCCCAAATTCCACAAAACCTAAACGAACTCCAAGAACCACTTATTACATTATTCTGCAGGATCTCAGCAAACCAGAAGGAGAGATTTCAAATCCGAAAAGCTGGGATTGTTAAAAAATTAGGGAGAGCTCATGGAGCAACGAGCATTCATTCAATCGATTGGAATTTGCAACTGCAATTTACAACGAATGTAGAGGTGAGGAAGAAAGGGAAGCAATAAATGGAGAGAGAGAGGAATGTGGGAAGAGATTGTTGAATTTGTTGGTGTTTTTTTATGTGTTTTTGGGAAGGAGAAACAAAGAGCGTCGAAAGGGTGGATGATTGGTGTGGAGAAATGAAGGAATGGTCGAGATGAGTAAGCAGCTTAAATAAGTAAACAACTGACAGACAGCATCAGCATCGGCATTCAGACAAAACAAAAAAGCGATTGAAGATGAGAACACAAATGATTAAAAATTGATTTTTTGGGAAATGGGCAATGTCCTCTCGTCTCTTCTCTGCTGCTGTAATGTAAAAAACCCATCGGATTTACAGCAGGCAGCAGCGGCAGCCATGGCTAGAGCTCAAAGGTTGCTTCTTTTATTTATTTAAAATTTGATATTTAAAAAAAAATAGTTGGAGTTAGTTTGAAGTGTATTTTTTTATTTTCTTTCTGGATGATGCGGAACCAGGAAGAAAAAGTCACACTAGTCGAACACAAATTCAACCCTTACATCATCAGGCCTTCCTCAAGAGACTAGTTTGAAGTGTATTTAGGTGATACATGCTTTGTTTACATGATAAATATTTATTCATTTCATACTATTTATTTTTAAAAAATAGTTAAATATATATATTTTTATAAAATACTATTTTTTTATTTTTTATTTATCTTCCAAAAAAAATTTGATTTTATTAAAAAAAAAAGAAAAAACATAAGAAATAAAAGCTTTTTTGTCTTTCCATGTAATAATAGTAATTTTAAGTATGAAATTATGGTTACATTTTTTTTAGTGTTGTATTTATAATTTAAATTTTAATAGTTTTAAAGTGAAATAATTATTGGATTTGATATTTTATGTACTTTTTTTTTTTGTTTCACATAAAATATTTATTTTTTTATTTTGATTCTTTTCACATAATTTGTCATTTTATATTTTAAAAATATAATTATACATTTTAATTATATTTTAAATTTTATAATTTATAATTTTTCTATCTTAATTAAATTATTTAATTAATTTCATCTTATACAATTAATTTAGTATATAATAATTATTTTTACTACTATATTCCTTAATTACTTAAATAGTTCAATTGGATTATTGTTGGCTAAAATTATGTCACATTAATTGTATTTTTTTTAAAAAAAATAAAAATTTGTCCCGTTGGACTTGTGACATTAGGTCATGGGTTTAAACCCCCAACATCTCAAGTCACCTGCCACATATGGTTCGCCTAGTGTGACTTTTCCGTTGGACCTGATTTGCAGGGTATTAGATTCGGCTGAAGGTTTATCCACTGCGCACTTTCGGGATAGCGGCTGCGGATTCCCACATCATAAAATAAAAAATAAAATAAACTAAAATAAAAAAAAATAATAAAGAGCATGTTTTCACTAATTGATGATGTTTTCACTTTATTTGAAAAAAATATATATATATTTGAATGAAAATAAAATATGTAGTAGTTTTTCTTTTCAAATTAAATAGTGAATATATATAAATAATTTTTTTTTTTACTTTAATAAAATAGGCATTAATATAGTCTATCAAATAGAAGTGAGATTTTGTAAATAAAAAATTATATGGATGATATATATTTAAAAATTTAGATTCGATTTGATTCATTAATAATTAAATTATATAAAAAGCTTTTTTTTTTACCTCTGGAAAGAGAATAGAATATGCGAGTTAGAGATTCTGAGAAACAAAAGGCCGTTGGGGAAACGGGACAGAGTCAGGGGCAGAAATGTAAATTCATACGCACGCGTAAGCGCCTAATAGATGACAGCCTAACAATGCCTTGGTTTTCGATCGAGGGTATAAGTGTCATTTCATAAAAAGTAGGAGAAAATACACGGCAAGGGCAAAAGAGTCCTTTAATAAAAAAATAAATTATATACATAATTTTTAAATTTGAGATTCACACAATTTTTATTGTTAAAATGGATTTAGGCATTTAATTGTGAAGCATGAGAAATTGTAAAATAGATTATAATTTTTTTTGTTGATGTTGATTTTTATTGTTTTGCGTATGTATTATAGTTTTTAGTAATATTTTTAAAGAATTAAAATAATATATTATTATTAAAAATCGTACAAATTGTATTATTATGATTTCGATTTGAAACTCAAAATAAACATATTCACAATTTATTTAAAAAATGAGAATTGAGAAAATAACAAATGCATGAAGAAAATGATGTTTAGTGTGTTTGGTTGTGTTTTTAAGTAGTTGGATATTTTAAATAAAAATAAATCATAAATATGATATTTTATGTTAAATATAATAACTTTTAGAACAATATTTTAACCTAAATTGCATAATATAAAAAATATAAACAAACACACCCCAATCTTAAGAAACTCAATCGATGATAGAAACTTTATAATTAAAATAAAATTAATTTTTTAAAAATATTATCGTAGTTCATATGTCTTACTCAAACTTACAATCTCGAATTCGAACTAGCGTAATTATTTTTTAAACAATATAGATATATAAATATATATTTCGAAGAAGATGACGCTTAATCGATGTATAACTTAAGTTGAATTTTAATAATTATTATTATAATAATATTTAATATTATTAGACAAATTTATCATTTTTTTTTTCATTAATTGAATTATTTAGCTTATGTTACCATACTATTATTAATTAAAGTCTAATTAATATTTTAATAATAAGTAGCTTCCCTTTTTTAGTTCTTAACAAATAATTAAAAGAGGTCAACAAATAATTAATATTCTCTATCATAAGGTTATGAATTAAATAAGTTGCATGACCCCTCCCCCAAACCCCACCCCCCCTAGATTTATTTATTTAGGTAGTGTTATTTGAGCAATTATTTCATCAATTATTTTTCTTCACCAAATAATTTTCAAAAATAAAATAAATAAGTAAATAATTTTGGTTTTAATATAAACTTTGTATCATCCTAAAGTTAACTCTCAAATAAATCTTTAACCTTATTATATGGTAAAAATTTTTCTTTTTTTTTATTCGAATTTGTTATACATATTAATTGGTTTATTTAATATCAATTATAATAGTGACTTGAAAAGTTCTATGACTTAAGGGCTATTGATAAATAGCATGCATGGCTAATTATATATACATATATATATATATATACGTGTGTGTTTTAAGAAAAAAAAAATTGTAGATATAATATATATTATATAAAAAAAGGGTTTTTAAGTTAAAAAATAAAAAATGAAGAAAATACAAAAGAACACTTAAGTCTCCTTTACATCGTAAAAAAATAAATTAAAAATGTAACTTGTAAAGTCGAAGTACAAATATACATAGCAATTATTTATAAGATCCATATTTTTCCCCAAACAAAATTATAAGTTTAGAGGACACAAATTGTTGTTTTGTGTTTTTAGTCTTAGGGTATTTTTTATATGAGATACGAGAAATCGTATTTTTTAATTTTTTTTATTAAATTATTAATTTTTTGTAGTTGAATAAAAAATATATATATTATTATCATTGTATAAATGTGTGTATATATTATATATATATTTTTATAATACTAATCATGTCCAAAAAAATTGTTCAAAGAACACACATTATGTTTATGTTACTTATTTTTCAATGCATGAAATAAACCCTAACTCACACATAAAAAATAGGATAGATAAAATATATTTGTTAATTCATAATAAATTGATATCTAAATTCACGATAGATTCAATCAATTCAAGAATCAATTCATTAATAATCTTTTTATTTAAATTTTATAATATCAAAATATTATTTCAATTAGAAATTTTACTGTTGCGACCCGACTCTGCAAACCACGTCCAAACAACCTTGTAGCCTTTATTCCATTATGTAATAATGTACTAGATTCTCTTCCATTATGTATATATATAAACACATGTAAAGTCACTAAATTCAACTATAATTGTGATGAAATAATTATTTGCATAAAATAAGAACATTATTATTAATTATAATAATAATGTCCCAAAAAAATAAATTAAAAAGGCTAGTAGAAGATTGACGGCTAACGGTTCCATTAATTAATGTTGTTGAAAAATATTTATATAAAATTTAAAGTCAAAAAGCTTAGGTTGTCTATGACCAATGTATGCTCAACAAGACAATCAATATAAAAATTTTATTTATTTAATTATTTAAATCAGTGATAACTATGGAAACGTTACACCTTTTTTAGCTGTTAATCTTTCTATTTTATTTTATTTTTGGAAACCCTATTTTCCGAACCTAAGTACATAAATTCGATCCGTCATAATTTTTCGCTTTGAAATTAGTGAATAATTCACAAGTAGATAATGACTCAAGTGTGTTCTTTTATCAAACTTTCTCAAATTTCTGTAATTCATAAAAAATAAAATAAAACTATTAAATCAAACATCTATTTTTATTTTATTTTATATATTATAGTAATAAAAATTAATTCTACATTCAAATATCACATCGATATCTATTTATACCGTATCGTATAATTATTCAAATTCAAAATATTTACTATATAAATCTCAATAAAAAATCCAAACCCCTAAAACAAACACTCATTGTGAACACTTATTTATGGATATAAATCATATAATGTTTCGAAAATTGGGTAATCAAAAAAAAAAAAAAAACAACACACACACACAAAAAGATAATAATTTATTGATCAAGCTCGATCAAAATGATTTACATCTGAAGGTAGCCAGACTATGTATTTTTATTAGTGTTTTCAGATGTAAATTAAAAAAAAATACATATAAACTATACAAACGGTCCAAAAGTTTTTTTCGAGGCGCTATAAAATACTAAGCAAATTCTATATGATATATTCGGCCGAGATAATGTCAGCAGAATTTAAATTCGTGATATTGTAGTTGTAAGTCAATCTATCACCAATTGCAGGGCACTTGCATACTATTTTTTAGCACAAAATCGGCGTCAAACATTGATATTTGCTCTATATGATCACATTCATTATTATACTTTACTTTTTATTTCATAATAGGATTTTGGGAAATTTATTTTTCGGTGATATGCTATTTCAATGAGACAAAATTTTACCAAGATTCAAGAAAAATTTATAATTGATCTTATTAAAATAAATTTTACTAGAAAAGTCACTTATAATTTGCTTGTGATTGAAAAATTTGCGTAC